GGTGGCAGCCATCTCGGCTATCCGAGCTGGGCATGACTCATGGGCCATCTTGGTGGCACCCCTGGCCCCCAAGCGTTGGTGGATCAGTATGTCAGGGATCTGGACTCTGACTACTCCGACCCCGAAGAGGACCAGGTCGGCTCTCCTCAGGAGGGCGCTCCCCCAGCAGGCTCTTAGGCGACCCCCCTTTTCTTCTTCCTTTTTTTTGTAAGTGTCAGGGCAGAGCTGCAAGGTCTATAAGCCTTGGCTCTGCTCTTCATTCAATAAAGAGACTCCCATTGGCTTCCACTTTGTTGTTGGCAACCGCTTTTCTTTGCTTCTCCTTTGAACTGCAGCTAACGTCACCTCGCACCTCCTACTTTTGAAGTCGCGCCTTTAATTAACATAANTCTACATGGGTAACTATTTATTAATTCTCATTTTTACCAAACATACCAAAAATAGTATACAAATTATGATAATGAAAATGAAAATTGATTTCTTGTTTTAGCTGTTTTTTGGTAAGTAAGAAATATATACACTTTTTGGTATCTTTTTCTGGTTTCTCATTTCTAAAGAATCATACACCGCAAATTATGATTAAAAAAAATAAAAAATTATGGCTCATTTGTTCCTATTTCTTATTTCTCGTTTTCAATTTTATTAAGAAATTTAAACATATGACAACTATTTATATTTTTTGTTTCTAATTCTTTTTAGAAACATTCTTAAAAATTGTATAGAAATTTTAAAAACAACCAAACAAGTTTCTTGTTTTTTGTTTTTATTTTCAATTTATTCGAATATAAATAAAATCTTGTTTTATCAATATTCTTGCATTCATGAGTATTGGAACTGCACAATTCTATTTTTCTTTATTAAAAAAGAGGAAAGAGTAAATAGAAACAAGAAACAGAAACGTGATTAAACGATCCCTTAGTTTTTCTTGTTTATTGTTTTTAACTTAAAAAAAATTACATAAACAAACGAATTATTGTATCAATTTTTACTTATATATATATAGTGTAAAATAAATATAAAAAGGATTAAATATAACATAATAATTATAAATATTTTATTCTTAAAAAATTATTTTAATATTTAATTTTTCTATAAAAGGGAAATAGCAAGAAGCAATTGAAAACACATTTTTATTTTTATTTCTTAAAAAATATAAAACAAGAAACAATAATGTTTACTCTCAACTTTGGAATATACTATTTATAGTCTGTGAGCTCTACATTAAAAAAAAAAGGTAATAATGTCACGTTATTTATTGTTTAATACGAAACTAGGGTTTAATCTTACTAATTTCTTCCAACTTAATTTTTTTTTATTGTTTAATACCTATTGTCAATTTTTAGTCTGCGAAACTTTATTTAGTCTTTAAAATTTTAAAAATTTCAATTATCACTAATTAATTTAGATTATACTTTTATTTAATATGAAGTTACTAACATCATTATCAGAATACAACACGTCATACTCATTATCTATTTAACTCTTTGTCACGACAATAATTTAATTTATTGAGATTTATGACGTTAGTATTTGAACCCAATCGGATATTATTACTCTACTAGCTACATTGATATTATTATACTTTTGCTTTCAAATGGCTTCTTTCTTGTTACATCAAATATAATGAATATAGAGTTATTTAATTATATTCAGTACATACCTAATTGCAGGACCATCCATGGAACAAATTAGGGTTTGGTCAATGGTCAAAAAGCTAAGAATTAATTAATATAGAAAGCTAAGTAAAGTAATAAATAGTGTCATGTCTGGTATTTAATTGTTTCTTAAATAACAGCTTTATTATGAAGTATGTAATAAAAATAGTATTGAGGTTTCTTTGTGTGCGTATAGTTTCTAAAGAAAAGGAGCCTTGGCCAAGGTAGAAGTTACCGACAAAATGGGCCACATGGCGCARCGTGGAAGGATAAATTTTGGCTAATCATAGACTGCTCCGATATTATTTGTAAATTAAGTACGAAAGTATATGTTATTAAATTTAGGACTAGTTACAAATTTATATATGCCCTTAAATTGAAAATGAAAGACAAAGAAATGACAAATCCAAAAATATGGCACGTATCTTTCTTAAAGTTGTTTGATCTGAGATTAGCTTTGATCGAGATTAACTTGGTTAAATTAGAAAATTGGGTCAAGATCAAATAAGTCAAAAACTCATTGAATAGTAATTTGGATCGAAACCCAAATTAACCTAACATCATTGGAGTGAATTAATAATTGACCAATGATCAAATTTAAATAAATTTTAAATCCACCCTTAAGAATTCATGAAAGACAATTTGGGCGCGGCCCAAGTCTAATGGTTGAGCCCAAACTTATAACCCAAGTTTTAGGGGCAATAGGGCTAATAGCCTTTTTCAAATGCCTATTATGAAATGTGGCCCATCTTCTCGTTTTTATGTTTTGTAAACATTTGCTGACATCAATTTTGTGTGAAAATACGTATTTACCTTTTTCATTTTTTCTCTAATTTATTACTTTCTCCTCCCTTTCTCTCTCCTCTTTCCTCTCTTATATGATTACAAATTCTCTATTTCTTGAAAAATTCAACCAACTTTCTCTCTCTTATTTAGTAAAAAATCCTAAATATTTATTTCTATCTTTCTCCTTATCACTCGTAAGCCGCCTCTTCCTATTCCCATTTTTTTTCTTCACATTCTCTGAAAAAACAAGCAACAAGCTCCATTTACGATTTTTTTCGATGAAAGACATACGTCGAGAGCGAGAGGAGCGATAGCCTTTTTTTTGTGTTCTGTTTTTTTTTTTTATGTAGGGTTTGTATGAACTATTTGTTCTTGGTGTTCTTTGTTGAGTTTTTACCTCTCTTTTAGGTGTGACCCACTTTTATGTGCTGTATATTTGTTATTTTGTTTTTGAATTTTAAGCTCCAACAATGGAGTCCAGCAAGATTGAGAGGAGATGAATGATAAATAAGGAAGAGAGAAAAGTGCGTGCCTTCAAAATCAAAACAAAAAAATCCAAAATCAAAGGAAAACAAAAAAGGGATGTGGTGTAGAAAAAAATGGAAGAAAGAGATGTCCTTGAAAAATCTGATAGTGAAAAAAAAATCAAATCAATGAGAGAGGAAAAGGATGTGCACAGAAATGGAAGAATGAATAAGAGAGAGAAAGAGAGAGTTGAGAGGAAGAGGAAAGAGTAGAGAAAATGAGAGATAAGATAGCAAGGACTAATTTGTAATTTCACGCAAAAGTGATGTAAGAAAACATAAAATTTGGAGTTTGTGATACATTTCATAGTTGGTCTATTCAATCCAATTTTCCAAGTTTTAGACCACATGTTGTGCAAAAATGCTATAAATAGAGGAGCCATAATTCATTTGAGAGGTTCACAAGTTAAATAATTAGAAGAGATTTCTAGTAAATTAGGACCCGTTTGATAACGTTCCGTTTCTTGTTTTTGGTTTTCAATTTTATTAAGAAATCTAAGCATTTTTCAACTAACTATGTTTCTCTTGTTTCTCATTTTTTTTTGGGAACATTCCCAAAATTGTATAGAAATTTTAGAAATAACCAAAACAAGTTTTTTCTTTCTTGTTCATGTTTCGAATTTTGTTCCAAAACATAAATAAACTGGTTGTTTTATCATACTTGAATTCATGGATATTTGGGCCATGCAATTCACTTTTCTTTATTAAAAATGAAAAACAGAAATATGAACGTTATCAAACGAAGCCTTAAAAACGGTCAGAAGACCATTGTTAAATGATAAATTTTGGCCAATTATATAAAAAATGAGAAAGTTACGTATTGTCGAGACCGGTAAAAAATTTACACGTGTCTTCAATTAATTATAAAAATGACAAATCAAATAATGTCACGTGTCTTTCTTATATCATAAATTTACGTGTGCCTTCAAATTAATTATAAAAGTGACAAATCATAAATAATGTCACATGTGTTTCTCACGACCGCCTAATAACATTAGATAATAAGATCGGCCCATACCACAATTGAGCTCAAATAGCCTAGATCAACATAAAAAGAAAGAGGAGGTCGTCTCTTATTCGAGAAGATGAGTGATATGAATCTCCTACATATTTAAATCAAATACAAGTCAACTCAAGCTTCATTCAAGGCAAAAACATCAGGATTTCAAGTTCATGCTACATTAAATGAGGCTTCATTTGATCCTGGTTACAAAAACGCTTGATTTGCTGATTTAAATGAATCTCTTACCTATTCAAATCAAGGAGTCAACCTGAAATAAGAGATCTATAAAAATTTTGAGCCATCTAGAATGATTTAGAGGCATATTTAGAATTTAGAGAAAAAACTACTAAAAAATCAAAGACTCTTCGATACCGTTCATAATTCACTTCATTTAAGGTTGTACAACGTGTATGTGAAACTTTATATAGAACAAGACTCACTTTGACCTCTAAAGGGTGTTTGGCCCATGAGATCGATTAAATGTAAAATTTAATTTGCATGATGATCCATGGAAAAAAAAAGATGTCAAGCAAAAGAGGGAGAACATCACTACAAAAAAAATGAGCTTTTTCGTGATCGAAGACATTCGACGATGATGAAAAACATTTAAAAACCACATTCACAAAAGATCTTGGGCGACAAAAATAGTTACGTCGTCATATAACAGAATGACGTCGTTTCGTAAAGTAAAATGTGCCCTTTTTTTTTTTCTATTTGGCGTTTGACGTTGTGACAAAACGTGCTTGCTAGTACGACAAAATTTAGGTCATTCGTCGCTTATTTTGGCGACGAAAATTCTTTATCGTATATATCCTCAGCCACAACGCTATGCCATTCATTTTTTTTTGGAAATTATGGAAAGCCAAAAAGGGAGTGGAGACAAAGTCCAGATATTTAAGTTGAATACATGGAAACTAATTTAACACAAATAAACAGTTTCCATATATAAATAGAAGAGGCCTTTTATGTCTTCACGAATTTCCACTATAAAAACAGACACGTTAATGAAGTATTTTATGTTACATTTTTCAAGCTAATTTTAGGAGGCAGTCAAAGTAATGGCTAAATTAGGAGTCATTTCCTGGATTTTCATTGCCTTCCTTGTCTCAGGTTTTACTTTACTTTTTTACTTTTTTACTTTTATTATTATTATTATTATTATTATTATTATTATTATTATTATTCTATGTTTGGAATGACTTTTTATTTTAAAATAGTATTTTTAAGTAAATAGTTTTGGAAAAAGATATTGTTATTAAGCACTTTTATTTGACATATGTATGTATTCTTTACACCATATAGTGCTTCTTCTAAAACCACTTTAGAGTATTTTTAAGAGCGAGTTTTGAGAATAATGATATTGAGTAAAACATCTTTTAAAAGCATTATTAATTAAGTGTTTTCTGGAAAAACAGAGTCGGGTAGATTTGAAAATTGAATCTCAATTTCAAATAAATTGTAATATATTTGTAAGTYATTAGTTATCGATTAAATTGTTAGTTTAATCTAAAATATGATTAATTAATTTATCAAAATAAATGTTATAAATTTTGTTAAAATTAGTATTTTACAATATTATATAATTTATAATATATTATATTTTACACGTTTTAATTTGAACAAAAATAAAATGAGTTTATAATATGAAATGTGTATTTATCAAAGTCTTCATATTTTTAAATATAACTCTTCGTTTTAAAATTTTAGACTCAAAATCTGAAAACACAAAAAACATTAAAAAATTGTTTTATTGTTTTTGGAATTTCCACTATTTGAATTACAAAATCCAAAGTTCCCAACGGATAGATTGGGTAGCTTGGGGGTCTGGAATATCCTTGAGATCTTAGGTTCAAGTCACATGAAACGCAACTCCACCAAACAATTATCTCTTGCATAGCTGAAGGCATAGGGGCATAAAGGCCAAAAGGCCCGTCGACTCATTTCTCTACCAAACAGACCTTAAATACTATGCTTCTAATGACCCATGTTTAGATTTTTTTTTTTTTTTTTTTTTTTTTTTTTTTATAATCAATTTTTGCCATGTGACCCAACACTACGGGAAATTGCAATTTGGAGTGGTGTGTGTTATTTTTGGTTAAAAGATTAAAGGATGGAATAGTTGCAGGAAGTTTGAAGGCAAGCACTGAGTTGTGCTGCAATAACTATCCAAAACTGGGGGACTGCAAGCCAGGAATAGACGACTGGCATGGTACTAGCAGTGAGGAGAATGGCAAGTGCTGGAGTCATTGCATTTCAGGATGCCTAAAAGGAGGATTCTGCAAGCAAATTATATTGGGTGGCTCAACCACCCATGTCTGCCATTGTTATTGTTGATTTCAAATGTATTACTCTGCATTGCTCTTCCATAAATCATAGTCATATGGCTAATCAAAATCAATAATGACAAGGAAGAGGCAACATATTGCACCATCGAGTGATGAAATTCATACATACTTAGCTAAGTAATTTCTATGTTAACCATCTTGTGGTGCGACCTATTGTTGAGTCCGACACACCGTTTGGAACATGTCCAACCTGACCTCACTGATATTCTATCTCAAACTTACTATTGAGTTCGAACTGATTACTAACTTGAGCGTCAGAGAGTTTGTCCCTCTTGTGTAGGTCATCCCTGTCGAAGCGAGTCAGTCGTTCCACGTGTCCATCTTGACCAGGTCAGACCATAAACAACATCAAAGGAATAAAGAAAGTCACACTAGACTTGATATATAGAGTGAGCACCGTTCAACTTTACGTAAACATGATTACGCGCTGTCAAACTCAACCTTGACTACCTATCTTGACTCAATAGAGTATTAGTTAGCTGAAAAACACTTAAGAGCGCTTACCAGTGTGTACAACAAAATGTGAAAGTAATTTATTATTTAGCACACAATTGGTTAATTAACACGATCCTACTTAAATTTCAATCGCTAAAAAAGCACTCCCAAACGCACCCTAATTACTTTTTCAAGTATTTTTAGGAGTTTGAGATAACTTAGGAGAATAATGATTTTAAAGAAAACATGTCTTTGTGCAAACAGGTTTTGGAAGAAGCACTAATCAAGTGCTATTTTAAAGAAACTATTTTGAAGTATTTTTTGGAATTAAAAAATATCACCATGAAATTTTTTAAGTGTTTTTAAAATTAACGAATGAATTTGCCAAGCAAGTTGGGAGTGGTTCATGTGTGCCATTACTATTAAGAAAGATGTAACTTGATTGTTGTCGATGCAAGGGAATGATACCAAAAGAAATGAAGGAACTGAAATAGGATTCAAAAGAAAGGTGATAGTTTCTCGCTGGTTTTGAATCTCTCAAATTTTCTTTATTACCGTCGACAATCTTGAAATTTCGTAGAGACAGTGGCAGTAACAATTTTGTTTAGTTCAACCATTAATAGAATACATAATCAAATCATCGATGTTTGAGATGACAATACATGTCTTATCTACTAAGTGATATGCTCGAATTGACATTAAAATTAGAATCATAATGCTTTGAAAAGGAATCAAGTACGTGCTTGTGACAATGGTGATAATGTTATAAGTGAATCTATAAACCATGTTCCATTTTCACCTTTTAAGATTTTTTAGTAAAACAATTTGGAGATATGGAGGATCAAACTTTGGATCTTGAGGGAAAGAGTACATGTCAATTAGTTATGCTCATGTTGGCACATTTTAAGATTTTTTAACTAGAAAAATGTGGATGGTGAGATCTTCAACATTAAAAAAAAACGGACAAAAATATTTGCTGAACTATACTCAAATTGGTCGTCTATTTCACTCGAATAAATAAAGTTCAACATTTACCATATAGTTATACAGTCCTTCATATGCCATACCAAAAAATATTATCATTCAACTTTTTCAACTAAATCATATTTTGTACTTTTAAACCACGTGGAACACACAATGTAAGGAACTTACTTGTCTTGGACTTGGACTACTTCCATTTTAAGCCCTAAGAAAATGTTATCCAACTCAATAAACTTTCATAACATAAGTCAATTAATTGGAGATATCTCTACCAACATGAGCTTAAGCTCAGCGGTAATTAACACCTGTCTCTAACTAAAAGATCATGAGTTCTAAGGGCCTAAGCTCGGGGCTCGAAGAAACTGAAAGTATCACTTTTTAATCATCATATCTAAATATATAAGTAATATATGTATGGAAATGTCGTCGCAATGAAAATGTCGAAACAAAATCATGTATACATATATATGAAAATTATTTGAATTAGTAAATTAAAATTTAATTTTACTTTTTTTTTTATTGATAATTTCTAATCCAATCCAGTTAGAACAAAATATGTGAAATACATATATATATAAAGTATAAAATAATTTTAAAAAAATTAGGTTTAATTTAAAATTTAAATGTTTATCAATAATTAGTTAACTTGATTTTGTTTTATTTGTTTGTTTTAAGATTTGATTGGTTAAATTTAATTTTGTTATATTTTTTAGTTAAATTTAATTTAAATTTTGTTTTTTTTAAAAAAATCCATTATCTATTCCTTCAAGATTTTGTTAGAGAAAATTTGTTTGTTTTGTTTTTTCTTTTTTTAACGCAAAGATAAAAGTTCAACTTTTCTAAAATTTATGCGCATAGTTCGGTGAAACGGAAGAGATCTGAGTGAATGGAATGGAAAAACAAAGGATGATGACTATTCTTTACGACTATAAACGATGGTAATTGTTCATTTCGATATATAAAAAATGATATATTTGAAAAAGCTGTTAGAAAAAAAAAGTAAATTAATAATATAAATACGAAGACATAAGCTAAATACAACAAGATATAAACCATGAAGTTTTGAGTTCGATTCCCCGTCCTACTAAAATAAATAAATAAAAACTTTTCTAAAATTGATATGTTTAATAATAATGAGTGAAATTGATTTTCTTTTATTTGTTTGTTTTAAAATTTGGTTAGTTAAATTTAATTTAAAACTTGTTTTTCTTTTAAATCAATTACTTTAAGATTTTGTTAGATTTTTTTAGTTAAATTAAATTTTTTTATAAATATAATCTATTTCTTTTAAGATGTTGTTAGATTTTTATAGTTAAATTTAATTTAAAGTTTGTTTGTTTGTTTTTTTTCTTTTTGAACCAAAAGGATAAAAATGTAACTGTAATTTCTTTAAAAGAAAAATAGAAAACGTCCAATGTCGTATAATCTTTTACTATTATTTTTGACTTTTCTTGTTACTCTTCACAAGTTTTGAATTTACAGAAATTTGAAAAACAATTATCTTATCTAAGTCTCAACTAACTAGAAGGCCACCATGGATGCAGATTTTCTCAACCGTTCAATGCAAAAAAAAAAAAAATCGAAATTTGGTCGACATGTCAACATTGTTGGGATTATGGAGCCAAAACAGGAAACCCATGTCTTGTGAAGAAAATGATTTTTCAACACTATTACCAATTCCTATCGGGAGTAAGATATTGTTGTCTTATAAGAATTACAATACTGTTTTCCTATAAGAATTAGGATATTTAGCCTCTTATAAATATAACTCTTATATTTTTGTACAGAATCCAAATAAAAGAGACTTGAGTGGTTGTGGTCAGTGTTGAAAAGGATTATGTATCCAGTAAATTTAGTGAGTGTTTTTCATTCTTGTACCTAAGTATAGTGTGTTACAATACTTAGAAGCTAGATGACTTTTGTTGAGATCTCTAGGGGATATTTTTGGGGAGAGTATTGTATTCCAATCCTTAAACAATTATTAGTGAATTACCCACATTTGAGTGGAAGATTGGACGTAGCCCTTAGTGGTGAACCAGTATAATTTGATGTGTCGTTATTCTTGTGCTTTTACAGTTTTCTTCTTATTTGCATATTTTTTGTTGTGTTTGGATATTTCTGTGTAAGAGAAAATTATTTAGGGTCTTCAATTTTCCAATAAGTGGTATCAGAGCTGTAAGATTGCAGCATCACGGGGGACAAATATCATGCACACCATTACTATGAAGGGATTCTAAAGTTCACCGGAGAGAATTTCAGTTTTTGGAAGATGCAGGTAAAAGATCTTCTTACATGCAAAAAGATACACAAGACTTTGGGAAAGAGACTAGCAGGGAAGAGCGAGTTGATGAAGTCGCATAAGCGAGAGAATGCATCGAGGGAGAAGACTACAGTGGGTATTGAAGTCAAAGGGAATATCTCTAGAAAGGCAACAGACTTGGGTGAGAGCTCCAAGTCATCAGAGGAATCTTCCTTCAGAGGTCGTTGGGTTCGATCGAGAAAGGAAGCTACATGGACCACTTAGTTTGAATGAGAACACGTGGCTGTGTCTCTAGCGTCTGAGGGACAAGACCATGTAAGATTGTTTAGTCTCAGGATAATCACAAACAGAGCTTGGATAGGACCGAGTAGTGTGGATCAATTCGTTGATATAGTAGTCAGAACTGTGTCTTGACAAATGGTGTCAAGAAGTTGATGGGACACTGTTGATGCAGTGGGAGGCAGAGAATTGTCGCTTTGTCTCAAAGTGGGAGATTGTTGGAATTATAGAGTCAAAACAGGAAACTAATGTCCTATGAAGCAAATGATTTTTCAACACTATTACCAATTCTTACCGGGGATAGAATATTGTTATCTTATAAAGATTACAATATTGTTTTCCTGTAAGAATTAGAATATTTGACCTCTTATAAATAGTAAATAAAAAAAGAGACTTGAGTGGTTGTGGGTAGTGTTGAAAAAGATTCGGTATCCAGTGGGTATACTTAGAAGCTAGAGGGCTTTTGTTGGGACCTCTTGGAGATATTTTTGGAGAGAGTTTTGTATTTCAATGCTTAAACAATTATTAGTAAATTACCCACATATGAGTGGAAGACTGGATGTAGCCTTTAGTGGTGAACCAGTATAATTTGCCGTGTCGTTATTCTTGTGTTTTTATAGTTTTCTTTCTATTTGCATATTTTTTTGTTGTGTTTGAATATTTATGTGGAAGGAGAAATTTATTCAGGGTCTTCAATTTTCCAACAAACATGTCGGGAAAAAACGATTTTCTCCTCATGTTGATGTCGAGACCGTCGAACATTGAAATGTAGACGTGTCGAATGAAATTTTGAACAATGGCGAGTATGATATTAATTCATTAATTACATTTAAAATACAAATCACAATGGAAAATCGAATTGAAAGCATATGGCAAAAATATTAGTTGTTTTCTATTTATTTATGGTAAATCGTGATGAGCCAAAAAAAAGTTTTAAAGAGTGAGGATGGAAATGGAAATAAAAGCATATCCTTGGCCACAACATTAATTTTGTTTCCTTTTGTGTTTGAAAATTTGTATGAAGCCATCAACATTTCCAATAAAAATAGCAATCGAAACCGAAATGAAACCATATCTTTCAACATTAATTATTTTCAATATATTTTTAGAATTTGTGAAAAACCAAAAAGGAAATGATGTCAAATTAGTCTAGATACTTATGTTCAAAAAATAAAAACTTTAATTCCATATATTAAAAAATTAATTCATTGCATGTCTTAACGAATTTCAACTATAAAAAGAAATCATCAATCATTGCAAAATGCACTATACAATCCATTAAAGTTTTACAAGGCATATAAGAAGATATAAGCAATTTTTACAAGGTCGATAAAAGAATGGCTAAAGTAGGAGTTATTTCCATGGTTTTCATTGCCTTCCTCATCTTGTACTCGGGTATGACTTCTCTTTTAGAYTGATCGGTTTTAAGTTACTCTTAAAAATAGAGGTTTTAGCTATACATTTTTCTCTATTAATACTTCTAGGAAAATAAATAATTATGATTATGTGTTGGAGTCACTTTTGGCAAGGCCAACTACTCTTGCCTATCGAAATAATAATGATTTTGAGTAATATAAAAATGTGTATGGAAAAAGTAAACTCCAAATTCATATCTCATATCTCGTTTTTTTTCTCTCTCTCCTCCCCACAACATCTTACTTCTTCTTGTTTCTCTCTTATGCATTGCTTCATCATTTTTTTAAAGTTTTTTATTTCCATTTTACAAAATCACAAGTATCTCTCAAATTAATTTGTCTTTTTTATTTTTAATTTAATGTATGTTTTTGTATTTAAAAAATATTAGGAAAAAAAGATAACGAAACCATTTTTTTTAAGAGTTCAACTTTCTACCCCATGTACTTTTGCATTGTAAAAAAAAAATACCAAGTTTCGTCTGATGTCCGAAGAAAAATATAACAACTTTTTTTGTAACAATAAAAAAATTCTTTTTTAAATAGTATGGAAGAGATACAGTAAAAAATATACAATAGATTTGGATAAAAAATATATAACGATTTAAAAATAGTAAGCAATAAAAAAAAATAGAGAAGGCGAAGATACAAAACAGAGAAAAATAAGAGAAAACATAGGAGATATTGATGAGATACTAAAACATAATAAATAATTAAAAAAAATAATTGTCTATATACTACTGGACTACATAGATATTCAGAAGGAAGCTTCTCTTGAATCTTGCTGAGCCAAGTTTTTTTTCCTTTGGCTAAAGCACTTAAGAGTGCTTGAAAATGTGTGCAACCAAACATCAAAGTGATTTATTATGTAGCACACAATTGGTTAACAACATCGTAATTAAATTGCTTTCGTTTTGCTCCACATAATTACTCGAGTATTTTTAGAAGACCATGATTTTGAAAGAAACATGTGTTGTGCAAAAAAGTTTTTGGAAGAAGCAGTAATCAAGTGTCGTTGTATTAAAAAGATTGAGCATGAAAATTTTGAAGTGCTTAACCAAAATGGATTTACAGGGAGTTTGAACACAAGTGCTCAATTGTGTTGCAAAGACCATCCCGACTTTGGGGGCTGCAACCCAGACGATGGCAGGTGCAACACTCACTGCATTTCTGGCTGTGAAAAAGGAGGATTTTGCAAGAAAGTTGGGGGTGGCCATGTCTGCCATTGCTATTGCTGATTTCATCTATTACCTTTCTTTCACTCCTCTTTCTGTCCACAATGTTATGACAAATGAAAATTAATAATAATAAAGAAAGATGGCAACTTCATTTTTGTCGAGGCGAGTCATACGACGAACAAGTTAAAATGACGATGACGTGATTGTTTACGGTTTCTCAATGGCTTTTGAGTCTCCCAAATTCTTTCTCTATATCGAGGAGCTTGAAATTTTGTAGAAATAATGGCAGTGATGGATTTGTTTAGTTCAACAATTATCAGAGTAGAGAATGAAACCATCTAATTCGAGATGACAATAGATGTCTTATTCTATTGCATTCGAATTGGCATGAACAATAGAATTGTGAGACTCTTAAAAGGAATGAAGTGCTGCAAAAATGATTTGTGTCGGTGTAGAGTGAGCGATATTAAAAGGTACAAAAGGATGGGAAATGAAATTTAATACAATGAGGGCTACTTTATTAAAAATTTCATACATTACGGAATTCTATTAAGCATACTCTTAAATAATGTGAGCTAACCATAATTCGACCACCTATGTTGACTCGAATATATAGCATTCATCATGACTATAACGAAAGATCAATCCATTGAAGCTATCAAAGTATTTCTATCGCCTATCTTGACTTGAATATATAAATTCCTTAATAAGTGAAATTAGAAGGGTTGATGGATTAAGTGTAGGACAGAGTTCGAGTTGGTAAGATTATCACTAAAGATCAATCTTATATTGATTACTTCTTTAATCTTCCCACTAATGAAGATGTGAATTTTTAATACTCATCTTTGGTTTGTATGAATAGTCCGACTCTTCTATGTAATAGCTACACGGATTTTAACATCTTATGTATGGACATTTATATTTTTTTGTTCGCTTATGAGATTATATTATCCTTGTTTTGGCCAAAGCGAGCACAGTTTAGTGGTAGTTGACATATATATCAAACCAAGAGCTTGTGAGTTCGATCTCCTACCTCCACATGTTGTACTAAAAAATATATTATCCTTGTAGGTTTAATTTACTGTAGGGAAAATGATTAACTTTGTGTATGTTTAGGAGATTATTTTAATTATATTTGATTATGAAATATAACCTTTATTGTTAATTCTTCAATTTGATGTACTCATTAATTATAATTAAAATATTGATTTCTGAATGAATTTGCTAATTAATTTTTGTTATTTCTTTTAAGATATATTGCTAAATAATTTTTTTATTTATTTAAAGGTTGTTAAATAAAAAAGAAAATAGAAATAAAAGTACATTACTTATAATAATTAGTTATTATACAAATGAATGAAAATTAAATTAAAATTTAATTCTTTCAAATTATTTTAAGTAATTTGACTTAATAAAATCAAATTATCTAACAACACTTAATTATTCAAAATTAGTTAATCTAAATTAATGGTTGAGATTAGATTTTGAATAATTTTAATGCAAATTTTATATTTCCCCAAGAAACACACACATCATTCAATTTCTATAAAAATGTGATAACATTCTAGGAATATCTTTAATTCTAAGGCATTTTATTCCTAAGTAATTAGTCTTATTATGATTTTTTTTCACAAATGTGATTTTTGAACTAAGTGATTTTAGTTATTCCAAAATTATTATTGTATCCTAAATCGACACAACTAATAAAACTACCAATTTGAATTATATTTTTCGACAAAAAAATTATTAGTTAAAATTTCTCACTCGCATACCAAAACGAACATAGTTCAACGAGGCATATACCTCCAATCAAGAGGTTGTGAATTTGGATTTCATCCCCCAACATGTTATATTAAAAAAAAAATCCTTGCGTTATTGTGTTAAAAAAAAAAGTTTTAAGGGGTAAAATTGTAATTTAGCCTAAAAACAAAATATGCAAACCCTATTTAAATTTCCTCCCTCGTATTTTTTCAGTTCTTCTTTGAAAGCGGTAAGGTGCTGCCCTGGCTGCTTAGATTACTGTTACAGAGACCGCCGCCGGAGAGTGCTGTCGCGCCGCCTGGAGCTGCCGTCGCCGCCGTTAACCGCCGAACGTGAGCCTCTCTCCCACTCTCCCTCTCGATTCCTTCTTCTTCCTTTTTCCCTTAATCTCTACAAATTTCTTCAACTTCCATTGCTTGATTTATGTGCAGTGTTTCTGAAGGGGGCAGTATTCTCAATGGCGAAGAAGAGGAAGCATAGCGAGGCTTTGGCTTCGGTCGCGGTTAAGAAGGATAGCGACGCCCCCGAGAGACCCAAGCGGACGCTCATGGGATGGAAAGACAAAGAAGTGGGGAAAGAGAGCGAATCAGGTTCTGATCATGCAGTTTTTCGGAATAAAGAGAAGGTTCTCGTTACTTGCTCCCGCCGGATCAATTTTAGGTACGATATATAGGCAGGGAATCAATTTTAAGTTCGCCGAACAGCCTTAGTTGTTGCACTTTCTATAGAAAATCAGAAGATACCATGGGGCATCTATTCTCTCATTGCAACTGAATTTGTAGTCTGAGTTATGGAACTCTTTAACTTGGTTGTTGGATTACCAGGCAAAGAAGAACATGGTTCAATAGTAATGTTGACAAGGTTTGAGAGGAAAAGAAATAACTATTTGGTTGGATGGTGAAAGCTTTCTTTATGGGCTTGTGTTTAGAAAGAAATAGTAGTAGGATATATGATGATGAGGATGGACATCAGAGAGAAGTTTATGGTTTGGCAAAATTTCAATGTTCTTTGTGTTCACTCCCTAAATTTCGATTTTCTTGACAAGCCTTTTTGTAATTACATCATTTTAATTCAAATTAGGTCAGGTAGTTTGTGATGTAGGTTTTCACTTATCAATAAAAAGTTTTTCCTTAATAGGATTGGTAATTTTATTGACCTGTGTGATTGTTAGGTATCGGCATTTGATGTTGAATATGGTATCACTTCTGCCACATTGTAAGAAGGATAACAAGGTGGAGTCGAGGTCCAGTAAGGGTGCAACACTAAATGAGCTGGTTGAGCTCAAGGGTTGTTCTTCCTCTCTATTTTTTGAGGTTAGAACTCCTGCATTGCTCTCTACCTAAGTCTAGACTTGGATTTCCATTTGTAATCTGTATTACTTTATTTTTGGAATTTGCTTTCCATTAGAATAAGGATAATAACCTTTTGGCGCCTGGTTAGGAAGGATGTATTATGTATTCTTTTCTTTTCATTATTTTCCTACTTGCATTCTCATCATTTTCGTACATTGTGATGACATGGCTTATTTTTCCCATCATTCTGTCAAAATGACTTGGAGTTTGATTTTTGTACTTGATTCTAATGGATCTTTTTGGTCCTCTGGATTTTGTTTCTATAAAACTGAATCAATCATAAATCATTTTTGTTCAAAGATCAATAATTTTCAGTTCTTTTACTTTATGTCGTAGTTATTTCTATCGTTTTTAATGCTGTATAGCATTCACATAACTTTATTTGTTGATCTTTTTGTCTCCAATTGCAGTGCAGAAAACATAAAGATCTATATTTATGGATGGCAAAGTGCCCTAGTGGGCCATCTGTGAAGTTTCTAGTTAATGCTGGTAATTTTTTAACTTATAATTAAATTATATTATCCTGAATTTTGTGACGAAATCATAGAAAATCAGGATTTCTTAGTTCAATGCAGTTTGCTTATTTTTCCATTTTTGTTTTCAGTGCATACAATGGAAGAATTGAAACTTACAGGGAACCATCTGAAGGGTTCTCGTCCAATTTTGACATTCTCGTCTAATTTTGATAAAGATGTCCACTGGAAACTTCTGAAGGAAATGATTGTTCAGGTATCAATTGAAAACTTTTCTTAAGCATAGTTCATGCTTAAAACTATTTTCCCTTCTACACGTGAATGTATCAAATATCAAATTCCTTCTCTTTCTTCTTAGTTTACCTTTCTTCATTTCTTCGTTATTTCAATCCAGATCAAACACTTAATGAAATTGATTAAATAATGTTTGCACAGCCCAATTATCATCTAGAATTCTATGACATGAATTTTGGTTATGTTATTTCATAAAATTTATATGCTTGCTTTTGTATTGGTTCTTTTTTTCCCTTTTATTACCCTTTTGTATTCTTTTCATTTTTATCAATGTAAGTTGATTTTCTTAAAAAAAAAAAAAACGTTAATGCACTTATTTCATGTTCCTATGGCATAAAAAAATTGGATTAGTGAATCTTGTGATAGCTCTTTTGTGGAGATTATATGGTTCAGGAGAAAGAAGAGAATCTTTAAGGGAGGAAGCCTGCCAATTGGGAGTCCCTGTTTTTGGCACTAAGGGCTATTCCCCCATAACTTTTCCAATAACGAAATTTCTTCTTTGTTTCTTATATTTACGTATGCGTGTATTTGTGCCTGACTTCAGATTTTTATGCTGACATCTCAATACTATCGTTTCTCTTTTCATGCTGCATTTATTTTTTTCAAAATTAGAGTCCCTTATATTTTGATTTGCTGCCTATTTACTATGTTATGAAAAATAGTAGATTCCTAGTTACTTTTCCAAATAATGGCACTTCTGTTTAAAAGTCCTATGAAGTCTTCGTTTTAATATGTCATAGTCTAGCTTCAACTTATTTTTGTGCCCTCAGATTTTTGGAATTCCGAAAGAGCATCGGCATTCTAAACCGTACCATGATCATGTATTTGTTTTCTCCATTGTTGACGATCATATATGGTTCCGAAATTACCAGGTATGCTATATTTATATTATGTTAGTTACAGAATTAAAGCTCTCATATTTATACATAGTCATTGTGTAACTTGAGTTCAAAGTTTAAGGAGTTTGTGTAACCACACCTGAGCGACAATGTGTGTTTTGGGGCGGAGTAATAAGAACATTGTTAGGATAAATCTTAGAAATATTATTATCGATCGTCATTAGCTAATGATTTTGTAGTGGTTATAAATACAGTAGGTTGGTGGAGGGGTTTAAGATTAAGCAGATCTTGGTAATGGTCTTTGGGAGAGTGATCTCTCAAAGTGATTGGGATCTGGTAATTTTCCTTTCTTGTCAACATTTTCTATTAATTTTTAGTTAATTTTCTAGTTCCTATCAGACTCCTTAAACCATTTGCATATAATTGTTCACAGTTAAAGTTATGTGTTCGCTTTTGCACTAACTGTTGGTATATTCGTCCCTGTTCGGGGTTTGTGTGCGGGTGTTCCTTTCCCTGACTAACAGTTACTTATGATATGGCGTCTTTCTTCTTTGTTTGGTGTTATCAGATAGCTGTTCCACATAATGAATCAGCAGATAAAGTAGCCAGAGGAGGACTAGATAAAGTGACTCTTATTGAGGTCTCAAGTTTTTCTCTTCTTGCTTAGTTTATGAATGAGTTTTCATACTTTTTAGCTGGACTTCATATATTTGTTTTTACAGGTTGGCCCACGATTCTGTTTGAATCCAATCAAGATATTTGGTGGCAGTTTTGGAGGTCCAACCCTATATGAGAACCCGCTTTACATATCGCCAAACCAGGTTAGATGATTAAAGTTTTGATCATCTGGATTTGATTACACTTTTTCATGCCTTTTAGCACTATTGGGATTTGGGGAATGGGGGTGAAAATTGCAAGTATATATTTGCATTAATTATGAACTAAATACAGGAGGCATTAGCTATTACCATGCTTGGTAATATTTCCGTTTCTTGTTTTTCATTTACTACGTACAATTTTGTTTTTTCTTGATTGAAAATGAGAAATGAAAAACAACATTACTAAACAGGCTACAAGCTTCCACAGTTTACGAGAGACTAAAATATCAAAATGACAAATAAAAATAGTGTCATTGCAAAGGGGGGGAAGTATTGAATATTTTTTCAGTTCAAGGTTACTTGAGAAATGATTTTCTGATCTCATTCACCATTATGTGATGCTTTTGTCTGTTCTTTTAATACATGGAGTGTACCCACACTTTTGACTAGTCTCATGGGGTTTTTTTTTCCCTCCTGTTCAAAGCCTCGAAAAGGGCAATATTCTTTCGAGTACTTCGGAGAACAGTTAGCTCGTTTTACACGAATTTGTAAATGGGCACAAATTGGCCTTTAACTATGTATACTTTTGATCAATGCCAACAATTTGAACCAAGTTCTCTATAATCTGACCTTCAATGGTAGCTGTAAAATTCTCATGTTTTTCACTTCCCTCCCTAGATTCGTGCTTTGGAGAAAAAGCAGAAGGCCGGGAAATACTCGAAGAAAGTCAAAGCAAAAACAAGGAGGAAGATGCATGAGCTATCGAATCCTTTGGAACCAGACGAGTTTGCTGATATGTGGAAGGAATAGTCTTTTTTCTGAGGACCTAATTTTGCCCAGGAGTTCCTCACCCTGGGATGTTAAATGGGAAATTTTGTTCTATAATACTGTTGGTGGTTACAGACATTTATGTTGTCTAAGATAAGATCTGTAGTGCAAATTTTGGCCTTGTTTTATTTTTTATTTTTTGAAACCTATTCTGTTTTTTCTATGTTTATTTTTTTAAAAGATCGTTGTTAAACCAGTCTCATTTTAGATATGATTTTTATAAGACGAAATGTTATATCATATTTGGCTATTTGATATTTGATTTTGTGTTACTAGGAAGAGTTTCAAAAGAGAAGTGTAAAGAATTTAGCTTGGAAGGCCATTTCATGATTTTATTAAATTATTAGTGGCATGATCCAATTTGGGACTTGGTAGGAAGACATATTTATATACTTACTGTAACAATATACTAAGGTTGAAATTCGAATTTTGTTTTTTATAAAATTTCTCTGACATTTTTGTTTCTTCCGACTTTTCTTTCTCTAAAAATTTTGTCATATTTTCTCTTTAATATTTAAAACTTTAAATATTAGTCATTCAAAATCATTTTTAATAATATAAAAATCACTTCAAAAGATTTTGAATAATATAAAATCACTTCAAAAGGTGTGTAATGGAATGTTAAAATGATTACATGAAAACCACTCTTAGATTGAATCAAACTAAATAGGTTCGGTTAACAATTTTGATTTGAATCTAACTGAACCAAACAATTGAGAATAGTTTAGTCGATAAATCAACTGAAGCCAACAAATTATTATATAATATTTAGATTTAAATATCATTTTGACTCTCAACTTATAAAATGTCAATTTAGTCCTAAACTAAAAAATAAAACAATTTTTGTCCATACATATTTAAATTGTATTTTAGTATTTGAATTTTTTTTTTATCATTTTTGTCTATTATTCTGGCACCTAATTTCCGCTTATCTTGTAATAGACTTAACAAACTTACGTGGTACTAAAAAAAACAAACTTACATGAGTCTAATACATAATTACGTCAACACATTAGTACATTTATTTAAAGTCGTGTTATTTGCAGTTTAAACGTATTAAAGATGAAGATCAAAATGATTATTTTATTAAATTTTAGAGTAGAAATTTTTAAAATGGGAATAAATCTAAAAAGTTTAACAACTAAAATATATTTTTTAAAAGTCCAGAGACCAAAGAGAATTTAAGGTTATAATTTTGTATTAATATCGCTTTGGAAATAATTTGATATTAAATTATATAATATAACTATATTTCTAAGAATATTTCCCAGAATTATAAATTTGGCGGTATTTTAGTGGCCGCCTGCGGCTTGTTCCTCTCGCCGCCGCCGTACGCCGCCGCTCACCTCAACTGCCGTTCGTTGCGCCTATGTAAGGGATCGAATCGATTGAACCTTATGTATATTTATCCTTATAATTGTATGTTAAAGGATCATTTAAAATTGTACTAATTTAGGGATGGGAGGTGAAATTCTGATTTCCAATCTTACCAGATTGTGAGAAAAGATCAGTCAGCGTTCGAGATCGCAAGAACAAGGATCCATATTCGCCGAACAGAAGCCAAAGCAACACTCGGGGAGCTGCAGCAGGTTTGTGTGTTTTCTATCATGTGATTGAGAACTGCGAAATCTTGTTTCTGCTACGATATGGATAATTATGGGAAAATTGTATACAGTACTGAGATATGCACTATCAAGCTTCTATGTGACGTAGGAAGAGAATATTTGGAATATATGACAATTTCTCAAAAGATCCACATAAACAAAAATGGTTTGAAGAGCAGAGAACTCATAAAGGAAACATCTACTTTTTGTTGTTCTGAAGCAGAATCTAGATTTGAACTCTTGTTTCAATTTGGGAGCTGGTTAAGTTTTACTTTCTCTTTGGGTGTCGTCTATAAGGCTTATTGTAATTACTAGTTAGGACGCATATCATTTGATTCTTAGACCCCATTTTGTCGAGCTCGTTTTTTGTATATCCCTGGTACGTTTTTTCATTTCTTCTCAAGCATGGTTTCTTATTAAAGAAAAAGAAATTCGAAACTCTTGTTCCAATAGTTGTATATATAGCTGGGGAGGATGGGAGATAGGGAGGAAGGGAGAAAGATAGAGGGGGAGGGGAGGGGAGGGGAGGATATCTTCAATATATGTGAATGATTTCAAACCTTCCATGTTATTCCTTTCTTATTCATTCTTGGATTTGGATATCTTCAATATATGTAAACGATTTTCTTTTTCCCTTTCCCATTACCTTGTTGCTATGTTTTAAGTAGTTCATGCCTGTCTGTTGCAATACCAGGTGGTAAATCATTGAATTTGGAATGGGAGATACGAAGGTTGATGGTAAACTGACAAGGATGGTGTTTGTTACTGTGGGAACAACGTGTTTTGATGCTTTGGTTAGGGCGGTGGACACTGAGCAAGTAAAACAAAAATTATATGCTAGAGGCTATACCCACCTTCTCATTCAAATGGGACGTGGTACATATAATCCAACCAAGGTATTTTCTGTGTATCATTTGATTTGATATGGTGTAGGTGAGAAAAAAGACTAGCCCGAATCTAAAAGGAGCTAAAAACTACAAAAAAGAGCCTCTGATTGTTAAGAATCAATATTTTACAAAATTATAGAAGAATTGTCTTATAATCCAATTTCCGAAGGAAGACATTAAAATATTCCGAACTCTTAACCTCCTCTCAATAACCTCTACACCGTTCTATTTTTTTCCAATCAAAATTCTACAAAATAGCATTGAGGCTTGAAAGAAAGAGATTCCAAACAATTCTGGCCTTCTTCTATTCAGCTTCGGCTCACACCTTGAACTTTGATTTTATGTCAATGTTGTGTATATAATAAAAAGGAATCGACTTTTTTTATCTAAAAGTTTAAGGTGATCTATGATTCAACGTCAACTTCTCAGTTAAATACTTTTGTGCAGTCTCATGGAGAAGATGGGCTTGTTGTAGACTATTTCTCTTTCTCATCAAGCATAGCAGATCATCTAAAGTCAGCTTCTCTTGTAATTAGCCATGCTGGTAAGACTTTTTAAGTTGCTGCTTTACACTTTGTTGTCCACAGAATGTGAATTCAAAAATACTATTTTGTCTCCATGCAGCCATGCTGTATCTGGTATCTCCTCATGCATGCTATGGATTATGATTGGTTATTATCATTCCTCGTAATTTGATCACCTGGTCCATATGTTACTATGACATGGATACACTGATATAGCTAATAACCCAAATTAATATGCTATTCAATACGAGAGAAAATATTGAATATTCAGTTTAATTTTGTAGGTTCTTGTCTTGGTAACATAGTATCTGTCTATTTCCTTTTTTGATAGGATTTATCATTTATCTATCAAATTCTGAGTTCCCTTGATTCAACAATTAGCATTTATGTAGAACCCACTATAGTGGATTGAAACCAACTATGGTGCATTGAAACCTTGGGGGAAACCTGCTTGCTTGTAAGCTTCATCTTTGGTAAATTCCATCTCCTACTTCTAATCTTCTGTGCCTTATCTAGACTAAAATTCATTCAAATTTTCTGTCACATTCAAATGAATGAGCTTAATTATATGTCTGACTTAAAAAGTTCTAATTGTTGAGGTTTATATCTATTTCATGAGTTAAATATGGAAATTTTGATTTTTGGATGTTCTTTTTGGATAAGAAACATTTTCATTGATAAGATGAAACTACAAAATGCAAAATGGGGGGGAAGCCAATCCCCAAACCAAGGGATGTTTTCAAAAAGCACCTCCAATTTGACAAAAGAGAAATCATACTGCTACTTTGAATTTGAGGTTAGTGAGTTCTGGAAATAGGATGGTTCCGGAAAGAATTTTTATCCAAACATTAATTGGTTGTGTATTAGGTATGACTGCTTTACCAATAGTTGAGACCCAATYGGGAGATGTTTCGGCTTATATTCCTACTAATGTAATTTCCATTACCGATGGACAAATATTCTTATCTGCCGATCTATTCAATGCTGGACACCAAGTGAGAGCATTAATAAAACGATCATACATGTTCTTTTCCTCGACTATTTGGTTGTTCCTTTCATTCCATGCCACAAAAATGCCCTGATAAATTGGCTCCAAAGAATTTTCTTCTCTCTATTGAATGTGTATCCTTCAAGGACTAAAGATAGCATGCCGAGAGGATCCTTGGGAGGGATCAGATCCCAAAAATTAGCATGCGATGGTTAAAGAAAATATGGCTTTGTGATTCTGACTTTTCTTGCATAAAGAGAACCAGTTTGGGGAGATGGCCAGCCAAGAGGTTCTTTTTTGAGGTTATCATTGGTGTTAGAGCAAGAATGGTTAAGCTCCTAAAGGAAAATTTTGACCTTTTTCGGGTAATTTATCCTTCCAGATATTTCTGTAGAGGTGAGTGCTATTTGATTGACCCTAGCCCAAGGTCATGTGTAAGAGATCTTATAGAGAATGTACCACCACTGTCCAGCTTCAAACCAAAAGTCTCTATTCTGTGTGAGAAGTGAAAGGACAATAAAACATGGGGTAATGATGTCCACTCTTGAAACTCTGTAACTTGTTGGATGTTAACCTCTTTTCATCCTTCATTTCTCAATGTGGGAAAGACTGCATCGTTAAGAATTAATTATGTACTGGTATATCTTGGATAACTGTTGGCAAGGCCAGAGCCAGAAGTTTGATACGGAGGGCCAAAATATTACATTCTATATAGAATATTTAAATTCTAATAGTTATGGGGCAAACAGATGGGATGCTGTTGTAGTAAGCTTTTTTTTTTTCTTTTTTCTTTTTTGCTATTTTGTGGGTGTTGGGATCGAGAGGAAAAATATAATTTTTAGGGGTGGAGAGGCATTGGAGGAAAGTCTGGGATCTAGTTAGATTTAATACCTCTTTATGGGTGTTGGTTTCTAAGGTTTTTTGTAATAACCAGTTAGGTATATCATTATTTTGGATTGGTCCCCTCTTATAGGTAGATTCCCTTTTTTAATGGGCTAACCTTTTTATGTACCTTGCATTTTCTTCCATTTTCTTAGTGAAAGCTTATTATTAATATTATTTTTTAAAATCTTAATTCTTTAGTCTGACCAAACTTCGGGGAATTGCCCCCTCCTTTGTTCACGGCTTGATCCTTGACCATTGGTTCCAAATTTTGCAGGGTCCGGAAGTATATTTGAGACATTGAGACGCGGTAAACCTTTGATTGTAGTAGTGAATGAAGATCTAATGGACAATCATCAAATTGAACTTGCTGAAGAACTAGCTGAGCGGAAGCACTTGTATTGTGCTCGCCCCCAAGCACTACATCAAACTATAGAGGCCATGAATTTGGAGTCTCTCATTCCATACACACAAGGTGATGCTAAACCAGTAGGAAGGCTTATTAATAGGTTTCTGGGTTTTCCTGAAGATTAATGAGATTTTAAAGTTTCTTTGTCCAAATTAAACTCTTTAATTGGTTTAAGTTATCAATGTTAATAGGAGTCATGCTCTGAGTCACTACCAACATGTGTATGGTTTTATTTTACAAACATTACGGAAATAAGATTTTGGCTTTTGTTACTTTTTCAAAGAAAAGGCAACTGTAGAAATTTCTGAGCATAATACTTTTTTCATGATCCAAGATCTGATTCTCATCTAAAGTTTCACTGTCCGGGAAGGAAAGCGATATTGAGATTGAGCATCTACCGTTATGCCTCTATATTGCTTGATGTGTTTTTTTGTTACTCGTTCAAAGAACCTTCTGTTTCTGAATTTACAAGAGAAACGGCAACTGAGAAATTCCTGAGCATAAGTCAGCTTCCTGTACTTTTTCATGAACCAAGACCTGACTCTCGTCTTGAGTTTCACTGTTCGCGGTGAAAAACGACATGAATAGGTCGACCGTTGCCCCTATATATTTGGTCAGTGTGTTGAATCAGGTTTGACACTTTCCAGAAAGTGGTTGAGGGAGGTGCTTTTTGGAATCAATGATATACCAAAGCATGTGACTGATGCTGATTGATCATCAATTGAGAGATTAAGATATCGCCGAGTCTCAATGAGAAGACAAATTCACACAGATTTGAATGATATTCATATTTGGAAGAAGCCTTTTATCTTGAGTGGAGTTTGATTCTATCAACCCTCCATTTATATGTCAGGCTAAATTACAAAAATAGCATTGAAACAATTTCCTCTGTGTTTAAAAAATACCCCTATCATTTCAACAGTTTCAATACAATTCTTGACCTTTCATATACGATATTTTGAGTGAAAAATTAACGTGGCAGAATCTTAACGTGGGAGTTGCTTTCAATTTTTCTCTTTTTAGAGTTAATCTTGTCCCAAGAGTCTTCTTTCTCCACTGTCAACAGAGTTTGCTTCTCTATTGTCTATCCAACTTTACCCTAATCACACTTTTAAAACGACAGATTCTTCCATATTTTCTCTCTTTTTAAACTTAATCTAAGTAAGCTTTCACATTAATTGTTATGTCGTTTCAGATTCACTAATATTTAGTCAAATGATATTTTTGAAACGTTTATGAAAGATCAAGGATCAAGGGCAGTATTGAAACTTTCGAAAAAACGAGGGGTATTTTCGAAACAAGGGGTCGAGGGCTATTATTATTTTATTTGAGTTTGGCAGGAGTTGAATTTGAAGTCTATCTTGATGCCCAAAGTCCAGCTAATGTAATGTGTCCTGTGAGGTTCTGGTAGATGGCAGAGAAGAAGAAGAAGAAGGGATACAGAGTGAGAGGGACTGTCAAAGATAGCAGACAAAGTTCCACACATGCACATATTCATCTTTGATAGTGAACAGTGGGGCCCACCTAAGCCAGGTATATTTATCATTTTATTTGCAATATCACTCTCAGATGTTTTGTGGATTTTCAACCCATGTTCATATTTATTTTACAAGAAATTCCTTCATCTTATTTTGATATGCTTAGTCAATGCTGTAATTTACTCAATATTAGTGTCATTTAAAGGGTCTTATGAATTTGAGATGGGATAATAATGTAGCCTTTTTAAACGTGTTAGGTGATAGATTTTATTTCTAGTTTTTAGAAATTAGGGTGAGAAAGAAGAGCACATCTTGAAAAATAGTCAAAGTACGAAATGAAAAATAATTGTGAAAATATAGGATATTCAGATCATAAGGGTGAGGTGGTTTAAACAAAAAAAAAAAAAAATTAAGTTAGCGTGGAACTAAATACATGGATCGGGAATCAACTACTCAATACCAAACGACCATACTTGCAATGTACGATACGTTTGGCCGTTTCCTTGTTGTGTAAATATGATCAATGATGAACCAAAAAATCTACAGTTCCTAATGGAAGAGGTAACAAAGCAACTTTGCCGYCCACTGCCACTAAATCACCACCCCCAAGTCAAACTGGTACTTGTTGTTGCACCGGGGGTCGTTATACTAGGTGTTAAAGCATAGTGTTTTGTGTCCATTGAGTAAACACGAATTGTAATTATATAGCGGTATCTGAAAACATATCTTGGAGACGCCCTAAAGCACTTATGGTATCATTATGAATATACAAACCAAAACTATAAAAAGCCTAAAAATATATCCACCCAGTTCATATGTGATATGATTTTGTGACTTTCTTAAAAATTACTTGATTCTTCATAATTTTTTGGGTATATTTTTCATGTATTAATCAAATTTTAAAAGTAAAAATAATATTTTTGAAAACTACCCATTTTAGTTTTCAAAAATTGACAAGTAGATAGCAAATAGGTAAAACTAGTATTTCTAAGCATTTTAAAAAACAGAAAATAAAAAACTTTTATTTCATTGACTTATGGAATATTTGTGACTATCCCAAGCTAGCTTTTTGAATGTCATAACAATCATGGTGGCAATTTGTCTATATTACTAGATATTCTACAACACTTTGATTTTTATTATTTTTATTATTTCTGTGTGTGTGGCAGAGGAAGATTTGGAATATGGTGTTTCAAATGTATGTATTGGTTTTTCTCTCTCTTTTAAAAGAAATTTCTTTAGGCATTTTGTTCTTCCACTAACAATAGAGTTCGGGGATTAGAACTCACAATCTCTGATGGAGGTATATGTCAATTACCGTTGAGTTATGCTCGCTTTAAATTTTCAAGTATAACATCAATCAATTATTTTTTAACATTGTCTAGAGAAGACACTTTAACACATATACTTTTTCAATAATGGTTAGAAAGAGAGTTTAATATAGTAATATTTCCAAATTTGGGTCTCGTTGGATTATTAAATGTTGATTTCATATGGTGGGATCAAAATTTTGTTTCTAACCATACAAAATCCAAGTTGTGTAGCAATGATTTTTATATATTTGGAAATAAAGAAACATAAAGTTTTCATTATAGGGTGGAAAATTTATGAAATTATAGAACTTTTTTGGAGTTTACCAAAAGAAAGCACTCAGATTAGAGTTAATCATGGGGTATGCTTTCTAAGTGATTTGTGTAAAGGAAAAAAAAGCATCAAATTTAGCCTTTCTATTTTTTATTTTGCTTTTTTTTTTCTTATTATATTTTTTAAATCTTAATCAAGAATTTTTTTTATTAAAAAAATTAAAAATTGAAAAAGAAGTTTCCCAAAAAATTATGGATTATATGATTTTTCAGTAAAAATTATGACTGTAATTGGGGGTTAAAAGGATTACTTGTTGAAAAGATCATCACATGAAATCCGAAACTCAAATGAATAAACTTGAATTTTAATTCTCTCTATTTATTGAAGATTCATTTTATTTTTAAAATTCAAGTTTATTTATTACAAGTTTTCTTTACTTTAATATATAATTTTGAAATATTATAAAATGTTAAATATATAATTTGAGCAATTTTATAAGTTCGTCTTTAATCTTTTAAAAATTCTAATTTCATATTTTATGTTTCAAATTTCATTCACTAAATATCGATAAAACGTCGATTTCAATAGATACTTTTGGGAAATTATGAATTTGTTGATGAAAGTTATAAAAAAAAAATCTATTTAAATTAAACAAACACCTTTCAAAAATAAGTTAAACTTTGTACTAAAAAAATTACTAAATAAATAAAAATAAAAAAATTACTAAATAAATAAAAATAAATTAAACTTTTTTATTATTAGTATTATATTTCCAATGATATTTTAAGTTTTATCACTTTTGTAAAGTACATGGATCAAGCAGACATTTTGAAATTACAAGAATTTAAATAAACAAAAATTGAAAGTAGAGAGATCAAAATAAATATAAAAAAATATATATTTTTTTTTACGTTTGGCGTCAAAATAATATTTAAACATACATTTTATGGTTTTTTTTAGGGGGAGAGTGGTATTGTTTAGACATTTTGGGTATTGACATGTGAGTTTGAGCTGTAAAATGATTAGGAAATTTATTGGAAAAATGGGCCAATGGAAACCCAAATAATAAATGCTGTTTTTGTTTCACTCTCCATTGACTTTTACTTTCTTCTTTCAAACCCAAAATCCTCTTCCACATTCAATAACTCTTTAGTAGAATTTGTACACATCCACCCAATTAAATTTCAATTTTGTATTTTTTTTTTCAAAAATTTGAAATAAATATGTTATTTTGTCCCTGATATTTTAAATACTATATTACATATTTTATCTTTATACTTTAAGTATAAAATAAATATGTTCTTAAACTTTAGACTTTGAATTATGCTTATCTTTAGTCCGTTATCAATAAAATATCATTTGACTCGACAAATACTTAATACTCAAATTTTTATAACTTGGATGGAGTGACAAAATATGAGCATCAGTGAGAAAAAATGACAGATATGTTAGACTACAAAATTTAAAACTATAGAAAAAGAAATTAATTTTCATAAGTTGTATCAGAGTAGAAATTTGTGGAAGAAAACAACACTGGGAGCTGGATCTTTGTTGAAATTTATGAGTTTTTGAGAATTTATTCCATAGTTAATTTTGTGCAAAAAAGGTAATTTCCATTGAAATTAGTGAATTTAGAGAGATTTTTACATCATGCTTTCTTAAAATCAATCAAATGGAAGTTGAAAGAATTAAGAGAAATTGAAACTTTAGACAAAAAAAAATTGACACTTTTCACAAGTATAATAATTGATTTTTTTATACTATTTTAGTCCATATATTTTTAGCTTTTATTATTTTAGTTACTGTAATTTTAAAATAATTATTTATTTGTTTTACTTTCAAATTTTGTCTATTTTAATTTCTGTACTTTTAAAATGTTCGTTATAATCTACCAATTTTAAACTAAAAGATTTGTATTGTACATAGAATTTTTTTTTTTTTTTTTAAATTTTGCAAACAAGATAATAAAAGATTAAGAAAAATACCAAGATTAAATGACTAACTATTTTCCATTCCTCTCTCTATGTATTTTGGGATGGCAATGTGGAAACGTAGGTGGCACAGTTGCATATATCACTTAACCAATCACCACTCACTATCTATTATTAAACACAAAGTCAAGTAGATCAATTTCTCAAAATCATGCATAATTTTACACTCTAAGGAATATAATATATAAAATAATAATAACATATAGTAGGCAAATATTTAATAAATTATTTTACCAAACAAAAAAAGAAGATGAAGACAAAAAAGCAAAGGCTGTGATAAATAAAGCTTCCAAAATTCTTCTGATACAAAAGACAACGACAATTCCCTCACTAAATACAAACCCTTTGGACCAATCATTCTCATTCAAACCCATTTGCTCCTCACGAGACCCAACAGAGAAAATAAAGGAGTATATATTTAAACCTCCGTTTCAGCGTGCATTTTGATCTATGTACTTTTAAAAAACAACTCTCTTAGATTCAATAGGAACCTTTTATACAAGCTTAGAGCTATATTTCAAAAAATTTTAGGCATAGTATGAGTTAAAATGAGTGTTTCGAGAGTATAGGAACTAAAATAAACAATGTGGAAATGCCCGAAAGAAATAGCATTTAAATAAAAAAGAGAGCAGAGGGAGAAATATGGAGAAAGAGACAAGGGATGACCTCCTAGAAAGGGAAACTCAACCTCCATTTACATAGATGTGTACTGAGTCTAAGCCAAACTAACCATTTATCTCTGTAACTCATCTTCTTCCTTTGGTGTGCTACTCATGGAAGAAGTTAACAATTCAACTGCAGAAGCAGCACCAAGAAACCACATCCATAAGCACAACCATTCTCACTCTCAGACCTCCAACAATGGCCAACACCAACACCAACACCACCACCATCACCATGGCATTCTCAGCTCCAATTCATTTCTCATCATCATTGCCTCCATCATCTGCATCACCGTACTCGTCGCCATTCTCGTCCTCATCTTGATGCTGCAGCGCCTCAAATCGTCCCGAAACAAGCTGACCGCCTGCAGAGAATCAAACAGCAGCAGCAGCATCCACAACTCAAGCAACAGATTCATTCCCCACACAGCCATCAATTTTGACTCAAGCCCAGGTACAATTCAGATGTTGGTTTCAAAACAGTCTTTAAAACTGTGGTTTCTTCTCTTCTATTCTGTATCAAACTCGTCGAGTCCTATGATTGAAGTGCTAGACAATTGTTCGTTACATCTTGAATTCATTACCTTTTATCTACTTCATCGAGATTCATAAAAAAAGAACAATATCCATTAGCAGCTAAAAAGTTTTGTTGTTTCTGTGAAAATGGGAGCAGAAGTGAAGGGGGGCGGGTGCTTATATGGAGGGAATTCAGGGAGGATGCCACAGTACAGAATCAGAGGAGTCCAAGTTTTCACATATAAGGAGCTGGAAGTGGCCACTGAGAATTTCAGTGAGGCCAATGTGATTGGAAATGGAAGATTTGGAAGTGTGTACAGAGGGGTCCTTGCTGATGGAGCTGTGGTCGCAATTAAGATGCTGCACAGAGAAGGGAAGCAGAGAGAGCGTGCCTTCAGGATGGAGGTCAGTAACTTCCATTAATTCTTCTCTCTCTCTCTCTCTCTCTTCTTTCTCTCTCCCCCATGTTACTTGAGTTCTATCTAGATTTAAAATATGTATTAGGAAGCTTAAGTAAACTTGTTTTGACTTTCCATCAACAATGCCAGCTTTCATGGCATGGAACAATGAGCCTAGTGATCTTTCTTACACCTATCAATTTGTTTGTAGTAAGATGAAGGCAAAAGTTCAAACTTTAATGGGCAAGTCAACTTTAATCTGAAACTTTCAATTTCATCAATTTAGACCTTATTCTCGAGTAAGTTGATGCATGCGATTAATACCCTTAATTAGTTTAGTTTCTGTTTTTCTAAAAATTTGTGACTAGTTACAAGCGTTTGACTACTTTTAGTTGTGTTTGATTGGATTTAGGCATTTTGTTGTTAAGTTTGAATGTTTTTTTATTTTATTTGGTTGAACTTTGTATGATATGTTGGCCAGTTCATAGGAAATTTTCGAATTTAGCTTTGAGAAGGTATAAATGGTCATACTTGGGATCTAAATTACTGAAATTGAGATTTAGTTTGGAGTTTTCCCTAAATTGGAATCATTCAAGTTTTTAGATGCAAATATTAAAAAGCAGATAAGATAACATTTAATTCAACTCACTGAAATCAGGTGGATCTCCTAAGCCGCTTGCACTCGCCTTGTTTGGTGGAGTTGCTTGGCTACTGCGCTGACCAACACCATAGGCTTCTGATATTTGAATTCATGCACAATGGTACTCTCCATCGTCATCTGCATAATCCAAACAGTGAATCTCGGCCGTTGGATTGGAATACTCGGTTAAGGATAGCCCTTGATTGTGCCAAGGCTCTCGAGTTCCTCCATGAGCATGCAGTCCCATCAGTGATCCATCGTAACTTCAAGTGCACCAATGTTCTTCTGGATCAGGATTTTCGAGCCAAGGTGTCCGATTTTGGATCGGCCAAGATGGGATCTGATAAGATCAACGGTCAAATATCTACACAAATTCTTGGAACCACAGGATATCTAGCACCAGAGTAAGTGCTCAAAAATATAATACTACTACACCCCTCCCTTCAACTAAATTGTTAACTTTCTAAGAAAAAAATTGGTTTCAAAATGATGTTACTCTAGGAACGCACAAACTAGTCCGAACACTCAAGAATATCAAAAGAAAAAAAAAACTCTGGGGGAAAACTTTTGTTAGTTCATTATGTTGATTTATTGTTCTGTTCTATACCTCAATTCACAATTTTCTGCTGGGAAAGTATAGGTATGCTTCAACAGGTAAGCTTACAACAAAGTCAGATGTGTACAGCTATGGTGTTGTGCTGCTAGAACTATTGACAGGTCGTGTGCCAGTCGATATCAAGCGGCCACAGGGGGAGCATGTACTCGTCTCATGGGTTAGTAAATTGTGTTGCATTTTTCTCAAGTCATTACGAGGTGGTTTGGTGACATTCTTGTAGAGAGCTAATCTCCTATTATATTGCTCCTCAGGCTCTCCCAAGACTAACTAACAGAGAAAAAGTGGAGAAAATGGTGGACCCAGCTATTCAAGGAAAATACTCTAAGAAGGATCTAATTCAAGTTGGTTCATCCTTTTATGAACATTCTTATAAGGATTATAAATTTGCTAATCTCACTCTTTTTCACACCCTATAATATATGTTTCTCAGGTAGCAGCCATTGCAGCGATGTGCGTGCAGCCCGAAGCAGACTACAGGCCACTAATGACTGATGTTGTGCAATCACTGATTCCTCTAGTTAAGAACCCGTCCTCGTCCTTGAGATTCTTGAATTGACGAGCTTCACTAAAGACTGCATTTTCCTCCATTATAGTTAAGAAACAGTCTAGTTCTTCTGGTGGGAAGTCATTAAGAGGATTCTACACTATGAGAGTGAAATCTATACAAGTTTCATCAAGAAGCCCTTCCAAGAACAGATTAAGGTTCACTAAAGTAGGCTTTTGTGTAACTTTTATGGAATCCCATATTAGAGCATGTCAATGTGAACCTGCAGAGGCAACAACCAGCTATATTAAAAAATCTCTTTATCAGAAATACTATGAATAATTCGACAAGGAGATATGAGACTTGTACATAAACGTCGATTACCATTCGATGCTACGAACATCACTAGATTGTAGACCAATTATATAATTACTGTAAACTATCAATCAGAGTTTACATTTGGCAGAAGTAAAGATTTTGAGCTCCGGATACTGAATACTTTTAGTGGCAGATGAAAATAGTAGCAAAACAGAACTTGGACATCTTACCTGAGAGTCAGACTGAAGCTAAGTTAAAATCTGTAGGCAATACACTCTGCCACAAGAGCTAACTTGTCCATTGGGTCAAAAGCTTCAACTGAGATCATGAAACCAGATATTAGAGAGAGAATTTCTCTCTAAAATTGAGTGGTGAATCTGAGATGATTTTGAGTGAAAATGCTCCTAAAAGCAGTTTTGAAAGAAGCAATAATTAAGAGGTTCTCCTAAAAGCAAGTATTTTTATAATTTTTTAAATCATTTTTATTATTCAACCCAGCACTACGAAAACTTTGAGAAGTGTTTCTCACCCTCCAAAAATTATCTCAAACTCACCCTAAAAAGAATACGCCATCTAGGTCATGAAATTTTCTTTTAAATGTAGTACAATTCCTATAACAAGGCATTTAGTATTAACCATTGGATGCAGATTCCGAATCATGCTTTATTTGGTGAAAAAGAATAATAATGGAATTAGAGTTCTCTCATCCCATCGATTCTCATCACAGTTTATGTCTCTTGCATTACGACTTGATGAAATAGGGTAAATGGCCGATACTACTAGAAGGATTCCTTTTCGGTTGATAGGTATTGTAACCGATATTCCTGTGGTCAGTTCCGTAAATCTTTTTTTTTTTTTCAGTTCATATTCCAGATTGGCTTCATCCTTGCAGTAATTGGATGAATTGAGTTGCACCTGTTCCATTCAAAAGAACTATTTTGTTAGGTACCAGCATAAGTTTTCTTTTAAATACATACTTTTCAGTCTCGAATTTAGAAAAGAGTAACAGAATCTTCTAGACAATAAAACAAGAATACAAGATAGAAGCAATTTACAGGCTCCCAGCCAACTTTAAGTAACAGGACTAGAAAAACCATAAAATGGACAATCAGGACAAAAAAATCCAACATGGACATCCTTGGCTCATTTTTAAAAATAACCTGAACATCTTGGCAGTGAAACTTTTCTAGTTACCATCTCTTTAGTTCTTTACCTTAAAATCATGAGGTAAGAAACTTATGTACAGTCCTGGCAATGGAGGTAGAAGAAGAGCTGCAGTCCCTAAGAAAGACAAAATGCCTATAGCTTGATAAATTTTCATAAATAAGACAAAGTTCATATAATTGTGTTCTTTCCTACTGGAACAGTTCAAAAAGTTGAAATGACAGATGCAATGGGAATCTTGGACCCCAAAAGCCTCAGAAGGAAGAGACAAAGAAACTAAAGTACGGAACAGTTTCATATGTAAATCACAATTCACAAAGAGGGGAGGGAAATGGAACAACAATATCTTATATCTACTTGGGACCAGAACATGTTTTAATTGTAAACCTGCATAGCTCAATGGTTACGACATTTCTACTTCTTGTACGATGTAATATTGAAAAGAAACGATTGAGTTGTCTTCACAATGCAATAATAGAGAATGATGAAGTTGCCTTTGCCCCATAAAATGCCTATTAGGTTGTGTAAAACCAATGTAGGGGCAGAAGTGATCTCTCTCCCTTTTCAGGAAGGAGAGCATATTTTGATTCAGTATAAAACATTCTTAAATGTTAAAGAAAACAGTATAGTACATGAATAAAACAAACTCAATAATTCAAATTCTTAACAAGAACAGAATAATTGTGGTTGTACTCATCAACACCAAAGATCAATTTATAGTCCTAAAGTAAAATGATGTCAGCTATTTCATTAATTGTACCTATCTTAGAAAAAGCCAATCACACAGCCCCAAGCATTTCTGCAAGTTAAAACCTCAAGATAGCACAACGGTTCCTCTGCAATCATACTCACCACTGGCACTAACATTTGGAGGTAGTATGTAAAGTCTATTCGGTAGCATTTTACCGTTTCATGTTAAACAAGTGTGGTGATGTTTCATGCTGGTAGTTTTTCATCTTTTAGAAAAGTTTCTAAAATTTCAAATTTTAGAAATAAAGAATTTGGACTCAATCTGTTAACTACTGGTTTATATTTGAAGATTAAGGTTATAAATATTACTTCCATCTATGTATTGCTCTGTATTGTTACGACTTTTTAAAAATATTTTTAAAATCTAAATCAAAGTTTAAAACCTAAAAAAAGTAGTTTGTGAATTTTTTTTTTCCTTTGAGATTTGACTAAAAATTCGAATGCATTTTAAGAAAGCTAAGAAACATACTAAAGAGCGAACGTTGATTTCTTGATTCTTGTTTTCTATTTTAAATTTTTCTTAGTGTTGTTGAAATTGCCTCTAGCTAATCATTTTGGGCTTATAAATCATGTATAAATCAAACAAAAAATTAAATAAATTTGGAATATTTTATCAAACTTCCATTTTCCAGTAATTTTTTCCCTTAAATTTAAAGTTGGAAAATTAAGACACTGTTACCAAAATATAATTTTTTTTATTCTTTTAGGCAAAAGGAAGAACAAGAAACAATGAATAATTGCCCAGCTATTTCTACTTCACTTTCTTAAAAAACAACAAACTTAAAAAGATGCAAAATAACAAACAATTAAAAAAAACGACACGAACGTTATCAAACAAGTTTAATTATAACCGGGCCTCCTTAATCGGTATGGTGATAGAGTCCTTAAATTTCCCATAGAGGTCAGAATCTACAACTTGCCAATATCAGAATATCTTAAAGAAATTTGCAAATCCTGTTAACCTGCAAGTGTGGGTTTTCTCAGTTTACTGAGACCTGCAAGATCAGAAAGAAAAACATGTCCAATCAGAAGATGAAGGAAAAATATAGCTTCCACAAAACTCCAATAAAATATTATAACCAAATCAACGTTGCAAGGCTGCCAAAGTGCTATTTGCCTTTTTCCATCTCAAGGCAGTAAAAACAGCTTGTAGATATTACATTCCATTGACCACTTTCTCACCCGATACAAACAAGTAGGCTGCAATTTCAACAAATTACTATCCAAACTGATGTAAACAATGATTAACAATATAACAAGAAGTTGCAATTTTGCTTTTGTAAACAATAATTTGAAGCCGAATATCAGCCAGATGGAGACCTTATATGTGTCTAAAAAGAAGACGTTTATTGAGGAAAAAGATGATCTTAGTTTTCACTTGTCCAAGAAAAATTACAGCTACAAACAAAGAAGAAAGAAGAAAGGCAAACATAATTTACATGTAGATTTCAAACTACTCTAGAGTCACCTAGTACCCAAAACTTAATTACTTCCTATCTTTCATTTCAACTAACAGCAGAGTCACTTTTTTTTTTTAATATCTGTAAGTATTCGGCCAAGCTTGCTCACACCTAAAAACAAAACACGAGTTCATTTCGATTTCATTTGTGTTGCTGAAGGACATGTGGACATGTAGGAAGTGATCAAGCAGCATCAGGAACAACAGTAAGACTTCAGACATATTTATGCTATTGGTCTTCATGGATTTGGATGGTCAAAAGCTTGTGAGTTTAGGATGACGTTACTGTAAGTTGCTACTTTCAGGTTCTGAATTCAAGGGCACACTTGTTTCTTCTTTTTCCTCTCCTTGTGACCTGCTATTACTTTTACCAATTTTATTACCATATTTGGCAAAAGCAGCAGACAAAGCTGATTTGATGGTTAAGTCGGGTTCTTTCTTGAGTTTGCCAGCATCTTCTGTTTTCTTCCCATCCACATCTTCGCCCGTTGAGAGTGGTTCGGTATTCTTCTCGGCAGGGGTTTCTGGAACATCAGGGTGAGTCGAAACAACACGCTTGAAAGGCTCATGGAAAGTGTCGTACAGCCGCCTTACCTGATGAGTAAGAGAAATTCACAACAGCATTCATGCACGCAAATGAAACATCACTCTAATTCTCTAGATGCTATAAGCTCATCCACCCGATCAAAAAATGAGATTGGTGTGGAGTATGAAAACTGCCAGTATCATTAGAATTATCGGCAATCTAAATTTACAAGATCATAGACCGGATATCGAGGAAAATGCCATTATGAGTGAAAAATACGGGACAACTATTAAATCAAGCAAGTTATATCACAGTTAAATACTTATTATTAACATAATATGTCAAAATGTGAGACTCATCTTCATTAACATTTCTTCAAACATATCATTACTCAATAATTATAAATGTTTCTATAATTACTTGTAATATTATAAAGGTTAAATTTCAAGCTTAATCCATAAATTTTAGAAAATATCTATTTTTTTTTGAAATCCGTGTGTCCGGGCTAGTTTGTGCGCACCTCGACTAGTCACGGGTCAACCGCCTGACCCTACTACATTTGGTTGACAAGGTAACTCGTAGGATATTAAATCTTAGGTAGGTGGCCACCATGGTTTGAACTCATTCCCTCTAACTCCTTTGCTATTTACATTGGCCCTCATTGACTACTTAAGCCATCCCATGATGGTTGAAAAAATCTAGTACGTCTCTAAACTTTCACTTTTATGTCAATAGGTCCTTAAACTTTAAAAGTTTCAAATAAGTCCTTGAACTTTCAATTTTGTTTTAGTAGGTCTCTGATCTGTTTGAAATTTTTTCTAATTCATAGCCCTCTTAGACACAAAATTAAAAATTTAAGGATCTATTAGACATAAAATTAAAAGTCTAAGAACCTATTAAACACATTTTAAGGGATCTATTAGCACAACACAACTCTAAAAGTTCAAGGACTAAACTGTTAATTTAACCATTATAAACATGTTTTGATGACAAAGAGAGTAATCCTTCTCGCTAAAATAAATTCAAAATTTACCAGTATGTATGACATCATGTACATATTGGATATTGTCAAAATAAACATAGAAAAGCCAACAAACAGGAATACAAATAACACGAACTAAGGAAACATGTAGAGAGGAGGGTCACGTTTCCAAAAATGGAGGACTACCTTGCGCTCACCTATGCCAGGGCAACGAGCTAGATCTTCCATGGATGCATCCATGATATGAGACAGGGACTACAACAGAAAATGAATTAGCAGTTTGGCACCAACTCAAGACAACATTAAAATAATTTAAGAATCTTAGTCAAAATACAGCAGAGGTTTACCCCGAATGTCGTTCCAAGGGTGACAACATCAGTCTTGTTAACATGCCGAACTGATGTTAAGACATGAGTTAGCTACAATTGAAATGAGAATTTTAATTTAGAATAGACTTATAGGCTAAGAAAGGAAAATAAATTGTCATGGATTTGAATTTTGAAAAAATAATCAGTATTTTAAATAGGAAAAGACCACACGATACTGATATCACAGAAATAAATGTTTAATAGGCAGAAAGCCTCAAGAAAATCAATACCCGTGAGAGATAGTCAGTGTCCATCTGGCCTTGAATAATATCTGCGGACTTGTTTTCATAAACTTTTATTGTCTCCAAGTAGCGACCACACTCCTCCAAACTAATAAAAAGCAGAAATGGAAACTCTTGAGCAAATCTAAAAGTCAAATTTCCGGGCATCAAGTTGTCTACTCTTTAACTATTAGATACCCACAAAGGCACAAACAGGTTACTCAAAACGTTCCCATTCCAATCTTTAATTCCACTTTTCAATTTAATAGTTATTGAAGTTCTATCAACAAAAAAAAGTCCATTTCCTATCACAGACAAAATTATCAACGGAAACCATTAAAATGCTTGACAACGAAATATGTACCACAATTAGTCCTAAAAATATATTTATTTCACAAGTAGGTTGATAGCAGGAACAGTCAAAAGTCATTGATGACAGAAATACCAAAGAAGCTAGCCAAAATCCACTTCAAAGAAACATAAAAAATGTACCTCCAAGCACATAGAAGGGTACAATCGTGAAGTAGAGCTGTTTTAGTGACTTCAAGTAACGGTTTGACAACATCCTCCTGAAATCACACTATACATGCCATTACTTCTTACAAGCACCAAAACAACTAAGATTTCAATACATTAATGTTTTAATCAGGAAAACGGGAGAAAAGGGTACCAAAAGGGCCAGCTAGTTAGTATGGTTTCTTACCACATCAACATGACAAAGGACAACACAAAGCTTGAAATTTTTTTGCAATTCTCTTATACGGTAATACAGGTAATCAGGATGCAGTAGATGATACCGGAGACTGCAAAAGAGGATTGATCTAATCAATGGAATATTCTAACATGCAGAAAGAAGAATGATTTAAACGATTGATGCACAATGTCTAAGAAGCATGAACACGGGGCAAAAATATGACATGACATGGACACGCTACACGGTGGTCGGTGACACATAAATTTTTGAAAATGTATGGACATGGACATGGACACATGTGGGACACATTATTTTTTTTAAAGAATATATGCATATATATATTGATATATTTTTTTATTCATATTCAACAATAGAAGAGCTTGAAAATATAGAAGGATTTGATTGGCTAGAGGAAGATGAAGATGTTATCCTAATCGTTTATATATGATCAACATATAGGATTTGTTAATAATCAATACGTGTTCTACAACATCTGTTTTTTACGAAGTTAAGAAAAAACAATTGGAACCTTGCAGTTGCAGCAGCTGGCAGCGAAGTGGGCAGGCACTAGCAGTTGGCAACATATCTTTTCTCACAAGGGTTCCTGGGTTTTTATGGTCTTTTATTTCAAGGGTTCCTGGGTTTTTTTTTCTTATGTTTTAGGTTGGGCTTAATGGGCTGGGTTTTATCTCTCTTGATGCATGTTCTATTTTTTTTCATATGCGTGTCTAAGGTGTGTCCAGGCATGTTCGAAATTGGAAAAAAAATAAATAAAAAAGTATTGGACACATTTTCTGGCACGTCAGACACGTGTCCAGATGAATCCGTGTTTGTGTTTCTTAGCACAATGTTTTGCTTGGATAAGATGTTGTGAGAGTTCAAACCCAGTACTGAGGTTAAAATGCTAAAAGAAAACACTTTTTGTCATAATACAACTCTTATATGCGCAAATAGAACCACATTTGATTACATATTAACCTTAAAGAACTAGTTGCTATCTAAAAGCCTTCCAACACATGACACTGAATAGAAACTACAAATCAGAAGGCATTGTTATGAAAACAGGCAAATAAAAAATTTCACTTCGAATTCCAGACCTCAACATCCTGCTGTTCATGGTGCACATTTTATATCCTATAAATTCTTATGAGAGCAAATGCAAATAATAAGCATAGACACTCTAGTTTGTGAGTGCCAGGGGTGCATACATGTCAGAAAAGAACATGCTTAGATGCACACTGGACACATTAAATCTAGAGAGAATTTTATTCATTTATTTATTTTTAGATACCATGAGTATAAAAAATAGAAAGGGAATGAAACTTGAACCTTAGATAGAGAGCACAAGAGCTTTGCCCAAGTAAGTAATCAGGCACAATATCCGCAAAAGTCCATCTCACGTTCCTGATATGTTTGAGAAGGGGATTTCCCCTCTGAGAGAAACATGAGAAAAACCATTCACTACTACTAACAACTTCACACTGCCATAAATTTCAAATAAAGTAAACATGAAGCAATAAGCCCAAAAGGCTAATATTCAATATTTCTTTTTCTTTCTTTATTTTTCTTTTTAAGAAGCCACTTTTACTAAGAATAGTGGAAGACCGAGCATGAGGTAACATAAAAAAGACAGGTCAAAGCCACCCAAGAGCAACAAAAAGAAAAGCAACAACATAAGAACAAAGCTAACTGTAATTTCCCAAAACAAAAAGAGAACATAGAAGTCTAGAGTGAGGCATGAAGCATTAATGCTTTGGACCTCCTCGGAAGACATTCCTACAATGGAAGATCCTCTTATTCCTTTCCTATTGATAAAAATGCACAAGGGAAACCAAAATAATAAGGGAGGACTTGGAGACTTTACAACCAACCAATTGAACCCACGTTTCCAATTTATGTACATCACAATTGACCCCTAAACCTGAGGATTTCAATCTGTTAATGCTGAGCCTAGAAATCCCTTGAAGACCATTAGCCTTCCCTTCCATTAACATTACCAAAAGACATTAATCACTACTAATGTAAAAGAATTTTATTATCAACAAATAGCAAATGCGTCAGATGAATCTCCCCCTAACAACCACGTCTCTCCACCCTTCCATCGTTAGCATTCATAATAAGAATCAATTCTCGCAGAATAACTTCAAAATATTTTAAAATTACCATTTTCTAAACTTCATATTAATCAGTTATGAGCTAAGATTCGTGTCTCTTTTTCAATCTGCCTAATAATTATAACTGATTCATGTACCACACTGAGATAAGCTACAACACAGCCGGTGGAAGCCGTGATCCTAACTGTACACTCCAAAATATTGACAACGACATATGGAAAACACAGCGTGCCAGTTCAAATTAAGATGATCTCACCTGTCTATTGCTCACAAGAATGGCATTGCGAGTAGCGGAGCTCGACCCGGACAAGCTATTAGTTGGAGCAGCTGCAGAAGCTGAAGCTGAAGTCGAAGAAGATGAAGTCTCTAATTGATCATTTTTCCTGAAATCAACAACGACCCACAAAAACCATATTGAAATCCAAGTAAACCCAGAAGACAAAATCCAAAATGAAGGAAAGCGCGGGAAAAAGAACAAAAATGGACCTTGGGTTCGTGATTTGAGAAGGCGGAAGGGGCTGGGAAGAGGAGGCAGAGGCTGGGTTTGGAGGAGGAGAGTAGAATTCAGAGGATTTGAGGAAAGAAAAGGCTTGGGAGAAGGATTGGGGTTTCGGTTGTGAGATTTCGAGGACTTCTTGATAAGAGGGTATCTTGATAATGGTCTTGCTCTTTTTGTGGACAGTCTGCTGTAAGTTGTCTTCCTCCTCCCGCTGCTCCATTTTCAGATTCTCGAAGGAATTTGGGACGTTCAAACGGGCTCCTGCTTCGTTCTGTTTTCTTGCGTATTTCGGTTGTGGAAATCGAAGGAATGGCCTATTTCTTTTAGGTACGAAACGACCCGACTGACCGAACCGGCGTTGGTCGGCGGTCGGTTTTTTAGTTCGGTCGAAACCTATTTTCCATCTAAAAATGGAAAAGCCGGTTAGTTGATCTATCCCAAAAGCTAAAAAACGACTGAACCGATATAAATATTTTTTTTAACTACCATAGTCTGCAACATGTTATTAAATATTTGTCGACGATCCATATGTTCATGTATCTATATGATCGACGACGTAAAGGATAAATTGACGTTTTCATTGTAGTAAAAAAAATAGACAAAATATGAAAAACATGACCAAAATGTTAATAATATATACATAATATTAATCAATCATTTTAAATTTATTTATAAATTTAAAAATATATATTTGCTAATTTAAATAATTTTTATGATTTTTTAATTTCTCTAATTTTTTTTGAAAAACATCCGTACAATTTATCAATATTTTCATGAAATTGCGACTTCGACATTTACATTGACATCGACATCTAAAATCTTGGTCTGCAATATTATTTAAAACTTTTAAAATATATTTTTTTTTATGAAAATTGTGTCATGATCTTCAACAATTATTTCCTCATCTTTATTCTTCCATTCTCTCTACTCCCCTTCGTATTGAGTTCGTTCTCATGTCTTTCTTTCTCTTCTCCCCCTTCTCTACTCCTTTCTCTTTCACATCTTTTCTCCATCTTCTCCCCCTCTCTCTACTTCTCTCTCTTGTGCCTCTCCCCTCTCCATTTTTCTTCTTCTCCCCCTCCTCATTTCTTTGCATTGGTTCGAGTCAAAACTGACCTACTATTCGATGTAATTGGTCAATTGTCGTTATAGCGCCTCCCAAAACTGTCGTGCTTCAACTAACGTAAATCAACAAAGTGTTGGTAATGATGATAATGATACAAATAGAGTTGTTGCAGCTACCGATGAGCTCCTTATCTTAGTTGATGTTTATTTGGGGCAAGGCCACGAGCCACGTGGAATGAGCCCATAAGGCCCGCACTGAACTCCTAGGTTAACATAATTGACTTAGCAATCTCTAGATAAAATGTACCAGAGCTTATCCGAGATGAGCCCTGATATCATGTGGCTCCATCAACAGCATAAAGTAGCTTACTAACTCAGGGAACAATTCTACAGTTGATAGGATGGATAACTACCAACTCATCCCCTATAAATACGCTCTCACTCCACCAAATTATGTATGAAAATCTGTCTGAAGCTAATCTGCCCAGCTCGTACTCAGAACTAACTTGAGTGTTAAGAGTGCTTTACCTGTTTTTACAGGTATCTCACTTCCAGCTTGCTCGCCCATAGCTTCATAAGGGCCAGAACACATCACTCCACGACGCATGGCAGATTTCGTCATCAACAGTTGACAGCCATTTGTGGGGACGTATCGTCGAGCCAATCACTCTCCATAGAAATGGCTAAAGGTTACCAAGCTAGGTTCAAGTAACCAAAACGTGGAGGACTAAGATAGGTTCCCCAATAATCATAAAGACACGCAACCGAACATGAAAAGACTCCCCCATCATCAGGAAGTCGAGAACCAAGGCGAACTCACAGAGGACGTGCTCTCTGTGTTGGGTTTTATGTCCTAAAACTCATAGTTTGTAAATGCCATATATACTTTTATCATTCAATAAAGTTGTTATTGAAGGTTATAATCAATAAGTAGTTATTGATCCAATAAAATGTTCTTACTAGATCTAAATCCAATAAACTAAGGATCTTAGATTGTTACATGAGACTCAAACTTTATGTAGAGACATAAATATGGATCAAGTTTGAGTTAATAGTCTAAATGGTCTATAGTATAGGAATAAGGTTGGGCGCCTTATTCTGGGGACACTATGGATGCGGCCCAATTTGTAGCTAGTATAAACAATGTGATCCTAATTCGTTCATGTGAAGACATGCGAGTGGGGGCGTCATCCTGTGCAAAGAGTTTGCATAAGACCGGACCATGAGATAGTCACTTTTACTTTATAACACTGTTTACTGTCTAAAACTAACTATCTCGACTTTGATGGCCTAGGTAACTCGATCTTAATTCTGAGCTAACTATGAACTTCTGTTTACTCGAGATTATCCTTAAATCTGCATGGGTGAGAGCAGCTCAATAGCGCTGGCTCAATAAGCCTCTCATTTCAAGGGTAAGACCAGGTAGATAGCTAGGGACATAGGGTACAAGAAAGAATTCACTTCCACCCAATTTTGGGATAGTAGAGAGGTTGTTCTTTTAAGAGCTGAATCCAGGTCTTGAACAATTGGCATCATTCTCATCAAAAGGTTTGAGAGGATTTTTTGATTTGATAGTTGGACTACAAATCATTGTTCATTAAAGGATCAGTGGGACTTAAGGAACAAGAGATAATTACAGGGGTAAAACGGTATTTTGACCCAGCTGTAATTATGAACAACCTGTGAAGGAAGGAAGTTTATGCTAGCGAACAAGCTTATCCAATCATAGGAAGAGCAGCTCGCTAGAGGAAACTTGCCCAGGGAAATGAGGAATTGCAACGATCGCAGGTTAGATCGACCTAGAAAGTTCGAAAGATTCACTCCGCTGAGTGTCCCTGTGGCAGAAATCCTCGTATTCAAGATTAGAAGCTTGACATCTTCATTAAACCAAGCCCGATGCATCGGGGCCCTGAGAAACGCGACAGGTTGAAGTACTGCCACTTCCGAAAGGACCACGACCACGACACTTTCGATGCTACGACTTGAAAAGGTAAATCAAGACCCTTATTTAGAGGGGATACTTCAAAAACCACGTTGTATGGGCCACAAGTGGTGGAACTAGCAACTCTAAAAGCGAGAAGGTGGAAAGAGAAAGGTCCTATAGTGTCCCCCCAAGCGTATAAATCGGCCCGTCGTCATCAACAAGATCTTTAAAGTGCCAAACGTGGTCAAACGAGCAATAAGCAGAAGGCAATGGTCCGTGATGTGCGACAAGAGGTGTGCGCCAACTACTTATAGATCACCCCCTACCAAATCGCCTCCACCGATAAGGACCTTCAGGTCATCCATGTCCTTTAAATGCCACCCTGGTCATCGTGCCCTAGATTGACCATGTGAAAGTCCGACATATATTGGTTGATAAAGGTGCCTCGGCAAACATCTTCTCCTTCTCCACCTACATCGCTCTCGATTGGGAGTGAAGTCAACTGAAGCCTAGCCCCACCCCACTTATCGGCTTCTCAGGCGAATAAGTAGCTCCAGAAGACTCCATCGATCTCCTGATCACTATGAGAGAAGGCGAATTCCAGGTTACTAAGATGGCTGAATTTGTGGCCGAATTTGTGGTTGTCAAAGCCAAGTTAACATACAATGCATTATGTGGTCGACTCATTCTTCACGACCTCCCGATTATACCTTAAACCTTTCACTAAACTCTGAAGCTGGCCTCCAACAAGATAGAGGTGGTGAAAGGTGAACAAAATTATGGCGACTAGTAGTTTCTATGATAACATGCATGTGACAGGTGATGATTCGCCTCCAACCACAAGCTAAAACAAAATATATAAAAGTTTAACCGACTCATTGTGATCTGCTCACTTTAGATTAAACCACTTATGTTTTGGAAATGATATTCGTATGATTTTTTTTCTAATGAAAAAGGAGCTTCTATAAATGTAATATATTATTATTCGTAAAATTATAAATTTTCTGCTCAACGATTTACAGCCATAGCTTTTTCTATTATTTTTTTAACTTTTTTATTATGTTCTGTTAAAGGGATTCAAAACCCCACAACCAAATCAGCTTTTTTCGATTACATTGGGATTCCACCTTTACCCATCGTACAAATTCCATCCCTCTCCTCTCATCATTTAATTTATAAACAAACTCATATATATATACCTACCATAAATTATAATTAATCATAAAACCAAACTAATTACTTTAATTAATTATCATTTTTTATTTCATTTCCCCACTGGGCCATGATTAATTAAGATAAAATTATCTTAATTTTATGTTGTGGTACCGACATCAACTTCAAGTGGTCAAGTACCCTACATGACTCTTGAAAATATGTTTAAATACAATTTTAGTTTTTGTATTTTTTACTTTGATTCATTTTGGTTGGTTCTTGACGTGTAAAACGTTTATTTTAATACATGTAATTTTAAAAAGTGACAATTTGATCTGTTTTAATTTTGATCTCATTTCTTTTAATCATAATTATAGAATGACATTTCACTCGTTAAATTTCTTGAAATGTAGTCATAAATTTATATTAAAGAGATTCAATTGTGTAAACAATTTAGGTTACTAGAGACCAAATTAGTCACGTTTTAAAAATTCAGGGAACAAGAAAAGATGTTTTGAAAGTACCAATACTAAAATGAGAAAGAATTCAAAATATATATAGACCAAAATGAACCAAAGTAAAAAATATACCAATCAAAATGACACTTAAACCTAAAATGTAATATTTTAAAGGTTAAAATCTCAAAACTAGGATCATCTCTATCCAGCTAGTTCTCCTACATTATATGTCTTTTTAATAATTCCTTGAAGTTTTAGAAATTTTGTCCATTTAAGTTCTATCATTTAAAATTTTATCCTAAATTTTTTATTTTGTATCTAATAAATTTATGTCATTTTCCATTAATTTATTACTTACATTATCAAATTAAATTATACAATTGAAATTGTCATAAATCAATTTACCAAGTAATCTTTAATAATGAATAGTAGTAACAAAGTTAATAACTTTATAAGACACAAAGAGTTAGAAGTTAAACTTACGATAAACTTTTTAAAGTACTCGAATTAGATAGATGTACATGTACAATCTTAAAAGTTTAGAAAGTATTAAAACTTTTTAAAATATGAAATTATTTGATAACAATTTTGTTTTTATTTTTCTATTTTTAAAAATTAATTAGCTCACGACCTCTAATTTTACTAATGCATTCATTTGTCTTGTTATCAACTTTCTTAAAAAAATTTCAAAATATAAGACAAATTTTAAAATTAAAACAAAATCTAAAAATTCGTTTTTATTTCTAAAATTTGACTAAAAATTTAATAATAAATTAAAAAAATGAAAAAATACTAAAGAAATTATGAGAAAAAGAAAATTAATTTTTTAAAATTAGAAACTAAAAACGAAATCGCACAAAGAAACCAAGTTTGTAACAAAACTTGGACATGACTTTTTTAAAGAAAATGTTTTTCTAAAATTGAACACTTTTTTGGAATCTATCATTTGAGGATGTTGCTTTCGCCAGTGTCACAGTCATTTAATTGTTTTTCTTTCTTTAGAGAGAGAGAGAGGAGAGACAGAAAGCCAATTAGCTTGAAAGTAACATTTAATTAATTGCAACAAATGCGAAGTTAACAGAGCCTAATAATAATCAATTAAAGACAAAGAACATGTTGAACCGACCAAAAATTTAGAGAGAGAAGAAGAACAGAACAAAGAACAACCTCAAAGTTTACAATGTGAAGCTCTAGCTTCATCAAGAGAGAGAAAGAGATTAAAAAACAAAAGGAAAAGATCATTAATTAAAATGCTAATTTTTCTTTCTCTTGCTCAAAATCAGAGGGAGAATGCCTCTTCTTGAATTCTGCAAACCAACTGATGTACAGCTCTCGCAATTTCATCCACAGAAGAAAGCCCACAATATTCCTCTACCTATACAGAAAAAAGAAAAATAAATTACGATCCACTCCGTTCGATAATAATTTTGTTTAAAAATTTTCATTCTCGCTCCACGAAATCTTAACTAAATTCTAAAATCCAAAAATGGGTTTTTGAAAGCTACATTCTTTTCCCATTAAATTTAATCAAAATTCAAGTAATAAACCTAGAAAATATAAAATTGAGCTGTCAATTTTTCAACATAAAAATCAGTGCTGATTAGTCACCATATAAGTAATTTTCATAACGTAATAACAAAACTAACATCAACAATAATTCTTGCCTACATACTGATTAGTAGAAGTTCCTACTAATTTTTACGACGACGCGTGAAAACCAGTTCATACCGACGGGTGTATAGGCAAGTATATAATTAGACAACGAACCTACCTTGAGACTGAAGGAATAGAGGACGATCTGATGGAGAGTGGAGACATTGAGGTGAAGAACACTGAGGTGCAAGCGATGCAAGCCAGAGACAATCTTGAGGAGTTGCTTGGGGAGCTTCTTGCACCTTATCTTGAGGTTTGCATGGGAGTCAACCATGGAGACCTCGACGTCAGCCAGAGAGGACTGAATCTGGTTGCTCGGGACGGCGGAGGCAGCCATACTGGTGAGGCCCGAAGGAGCAGACGCCGAAGTCGAGGTCGAGGTCGATGTCGAGGACGAGTAGTGCGGGAAGGAAAAGAAATGAGAGAAGGGAGGAGCAATAATATTTGGTGCAGCATTGGGAGAGGGCTTTACATGTGTTTGAGCACTAAGGAAATGTACTTGCTGCTCCAACTCCTTCACAAAGTTGATGGCTCCGCCTATGATTGAGGCTTGGTCGCCCTGCACGGCCAGCAATAATCAAACTCACAAAAGAAAAAGAAAAATAAAAAAGATCAAATTAATTATATAAATTCACCCACCAAAGTTTCCATTATTTTTGTCAACTTTCTTTCTTTTTTGGTCATTTAAGATCATTCTTTGGTTTTCTTTCTTTCTTTCTCTGTCAATTATATCATTACAAATCAAAAACTATGGGTGCCTTGCGCGTGGTCTTACTTTGTATCATTTAAGCCCACAGTTACTTTTTTCTTTTTTCTTTTCCTTTTTCCTTCCATATTCCTCACTCTCTTTGCTATAATTGGAGGGTGGGTGTGGGGGGCGGAGACGAGAGTCCCGAACATTAGAGCGAGACCGTGAAAGAGAGAACTTTTTTTCTTCTCTTTCTTCTCTCTTTCTACTCTGTTAAAGTAGAACAGGACGGATCGAAGAAAGAAGAAAGGGATCAAGATGCCCCTCAAATTCAAAGAATTATTACATCAAAGAAATTCAGATTCTAAAGTATATTTACTTTGAGAATACTAGTAAGTAGGAACTATAGTGTCAAAATATTTAAAGCTAAGATTAATGCATAAAAAGAAGAGAGAGACAAAATAGAATAAATTTAATTTTTAATGACATATATATATGTACCTAAATATTATTTTTTTAATTTGTTCCTTAACGTTTTGGAATTTAAAAATTGCATGCATATATAGAAAGTTATAATGGGAGTGGTGGAAAAATTTTACCCTTTTTATGTGAAAATTTTTGGCTTCATTTTGAAGGGAGCTTTTTCACTTTCCGCCAACAAAAATTCCCTTTTGCTGCTAACTTCTCTCGACAAGTGTTTGCTTAAAAAAAAAAAATTTAATTTAGGTTAAAAAACACATTTGGTCCATATACTTTTACTAAAGTAACAATTTAATCCTTAAACTTTAGTTTATAACGATTTAATCCCTGTACTTTCACTAAAGTAACAATTTAGTCCCTCAACTTTAGTCTGTAATAATTTAGTCTATGTAGTATAAAATTTGTAACAATCTAGTCCCTATCGTAAAATTTTTTTATTAAAATTAAGTATCAAATTTTATCATATAACAATTTAATCTTTCTAATTTTATAAACATATTTAGTCTCTCTAGTATCAATCTATATATATAAGAAACTTAACAAACAAACAAAAATTTCACGATAAGGAGTAAATCGTTACCACCTTTAAACTACAAAAACTAAATTGTTACATATTAAAGTTCAATGACTAAATTGTTATCAATTTAAAAGTATAGGAAATAAATTGTTACAGACTAAATTTAGAGATTAATTTGTTACTTTAGTAAAAATAGAACGAAAAAAGTGTTTTAACCTAAACTTTATATTCACTCTTTTCTGCATTTTTTATCCCATCCGTCAAACAATATAGTAGTGGGCAGAATTACCATTTTCACTTCGTTTTACAACCAAAAAAATAATAATAATAATAAAATAAAGTTATTTTCAGAATTAAAACATCAAAAGTTGAATATAAAATTTTACCCCAACTAAAAAGTTACTGCCTTATAGCAAGAGAGAGAGAAATGATTTTTTTTTCTCTCTTTGAAAAATACTTTACTCTTTGGGGGCGGATAATCTTTCTTATCGTGACCACCGTTAAATATCTGATAATTAAGAGATAAATGAAAAATAGAGATTTTGTTTAAGAATCAATGACTCTTCAATTTAAAATGATAGCGAAAACCAAATTTGATCCTCGTCGATAAGAAGCAAAAAATATATTTTTGAATCTCTTTGGAGAGAGAGGAGAGGAGAGAGAAAGAAAGGGTACCCTTTGGACGTAGGAGTGAGGCATTAATGATCGAAGAACAGAGAGATAGTGATTCATTTGCTTTCTTCTATTGCGCTCCACAGTAATGTGTGTCATTCTTTGATTCTCTATTTCCTCTTTATTCTTCTCCGTTTTCCACCGCCGCCTCCTCGCCGCCCGCCACCGCCCTCCGCCGACGATCTGACCCACCGGAGAAGAAGAATCATCATGGGGCGGCTGCGGCTGCGGCGGCGGCGCCTGTGGTTCGTTTAAAAAATTACTCGGATCCACACAAGAATAATAATTCCATTGATCCGATCCACAGTGGTAATAATTAGGAGAATTTTCTGTTTGGTTCCCGAGAAAAGAAAAATCTTCATCTTCTTTGGAGAATTCTTCATCATAGCTCCCCCAGATTGCTGCTGCAGAACCCATCAAATTGTACAAATCTTTGCTGCTGCTGCCTTGGCCAAATGGGTCTTGTTGGAAAACCACTGCCTCAAGTGCCATGATAATTTTCTCTTGAAATTTTTTTTTTTTTTTTTTTTGGAATTCAAATTGAAATCTAATTATAGGGAAAAGGAGAGAGAGAGGAGAGGACCCCAAAAAGGGAGGCTAAAATGTGGTTGTTTTTGGGTGGTCTTTGGGGGATGGAAAAATGGGGTTTTTAAAGTTGGTTTTTTTGTACATGGAAAAGGGAATTATGCAAATCTACAGCTTAGGCTGCACGTGAAACTACAACCATTATTATTATTATTGTTCTTGTTGGATTTTTTATTTTTTATTTTTTATTTTATTGCAAGAGAGAAACATTGAGATCTCAACAATTAGATCTTCCCTTTTTATTCACAGTTTTGTTGTTCCTTTTCCCGAAATAAAAAAAAAAAGAAAATAATAATGTTTCTCTTTTAATAAAATATTATAACATTTGATGATAAATGATAACCTTTCGTTTTTTTGTTCTTTGTTTTTAAAAGTTAGGCTTAGAAGCAAAGCATCACTCCTTTATGTGTTTCTTTGCTTTATTATTTGCATTTTAAAAACGTTTTCGAAATGTAAGTCAATTTTGAAAATTAAAAAAAGGGAGTGTGTAAAAACTTGTTTTGTTTTTGGAATTTTGCTAAATATTCAAATGCATTTAGGAAGGTATGCTAAGATAATGGTGATAAATCAAACATAATTTAAAAAAGCATATAACCAAAAAAAAAGTGTCAAATGGGCCTAGTTAAAAAAAAATGTTTTTATTTTTAAAATTTGTCCAAGAATGATATGTATTTCTAAGAAAAGTGAAAAACATTATCACATAAATCTCAAAGAAACAAGGATAGTTTTTTCAAAAATAAAAAATAAAAATGAAATAGTTTTCAAGGAGGGCCTTAATAATCATATATGTTTCAAAGTTTTTGCATGGATTAAGCAAAGTTTGTTAGGATATGAATAAAAATGAAATAGTTGTAAAATGTGTAGTTTTCGATTTTATGGGTAAGTATACCTACTGTATCAAATTAAAATATTGGATATTTCTAATTAAATTAATAAAATTTATTTTTACATAAATATAGCCCAATTAATTAAGGTGTCAGCTACAAGTTGAATAACTAAAAAAAATAAAATTTAGTAAAATAATTTGAAAGAGTACCTTAGAAATTATTTTTATTTTCTATAAACTCTCTCTCAATTATATAGACGAGAAAGTTGATTTTTTCTTTACACAACTTTTGATGTATATGAGAATAAAGAGATAAAAGGATAATGCCACCTTTTCTTTGTACATATCATGTGTGAATTTTATCATGCAATATATTCAATATACAAACTAAATTTTAAAATTATTTTCAACATATGTAAAAAGATACTTATCATTACTTTCATTTCTAAAAGAATTGAAGCGTTTGTGGAACCCATTTATGATAAAGGTATATAAACTTTTGTCTGTGTGAGAAAATGTTCAGGTCTGCGAACCTCGCGGTACAGGTGAATTGACTTTCCGAATGAACTGAGGCGAATGCAAGTAAGAGATTTACAAAATAGGGTAGTATTCTGATGTTCAAATCAGTAGTTGGTCGATCTATACTAGAGAAAGAATATAGTTTCGCGTACTTTAAAATGAAGTGGAACTTCCGACAAGACCTTTGAGAGACTTCCAACGACTCTCCGACAGCCTGAGAATTGCAGCATGTTGTCGTGAATTCTGTTAAAGGTTTATGCATGCAGAAGTTAACACAAGTTGACTCAACTGATAACTCAAGCGACTGAAATATGTGTTATTGGTAGACTCGTTGATAGCTCAGGCGGCTGAGGTATGAGACGATTATGGGCGGCTTGGCTAAATAACATAATTCACGACCGTCTCTAGTAGTTCAATTCGACTTCGTCGAAGGTTCGAGCTACTGTTTCTTGACTCATCCCTGTTGTAGTTATCAGATGTCAACACGTGGCTAGTGAAAAATCACCTCAACAACTTCAACAACTTCAAAGACAAAAAGAAAACCTTAACTTTGCCTAATACGGCACCTTTAAATGTGGGCTCCTAATTGAACCCATGATCTTAGAAAAAGCAGTAGACGTCTTTTATCACTAAACCGTTTCTTTTTTATTAAAAAACTAATATAAAAATTATTGTGATCATCATGATCACATAACTAATGATATATTAGTTAAACTATCATTAATAGATAAAAGTTATTATAGCTTAATACATGTTTAATCACTCTAAAATCAAAGATAAAACAACATTAAATGGGACAATAAAACGAGTTTCATGTTTAACTTATATATTGTCTAATCGAACTACTTACAGAGAAAATTGCGAAACACACCACAGGTTTGTTGTACTTACTCATTCAAATTTTTAATTTGATCAATCATCTCTCAATTAACTTACATGATTGTTACAATTAAACTCATAAACGACCTATTGAACTCCAAGTTATAATCAAACTCTGGAAAGGTAGTTATATTTAACTCTATTTTTTTTCATTTTAATTGAAAACTACAGAATTAACCATAAAATAATTTGGTTTTCAAATTGACATTAAGTCGACATTTTGATTAAAAAAACAAAAAAAAATAAAAATTTTAAGTTCAAATCTAATAATCTTAGAATATGAGAGTTTGATTGTAACAATATTTATAAATTTAGTGGAATGGTATCTATTGAGTTCTTGAACAAAGAGTGAGAATTTTAACCTATAATCTTTTGATCATGTATTAATTATCGCTAAATTAAACTTATGTTAACAACTAATAAAGATAGATTAAACCCTTCGTCAACGACCTTGGCGAGCAAGTTGATGAGCTCCAAAGTTACCTTCTTAAGAAAATTTATTTTGTACCTTTTATAGACACAATCAATTAATGTCTAATGTGACATGTCTAATAGTTACTGTGATTGATCTTCAAAATAGCCATAGTGGACAATCTTAACCTTTTTTTTTTTTTTTGATAAATGTGATTATATATTAATTTAGCTGGTCATAGATTAAATTCCCTACGATTTTAGAACCTCTTAATTGCTCTCACAACTCTTTTAAAATTATTCTTTTATCCTTTCACAAATTCCTATATCTTTTTTTCGTTCTTTTCCCTTAGTTAGGGTTTGAAATMATAAAAATTATTTAAGTCAACTGGAACCTATCTCAACAATAATTGAAATCTATATTATTTTTCATGAGGTTAGAGGTCAAATGTCCATACCCAAATTTGTTTTACTAAAAAAAATAACATGGTCTTAAACAAAAAAAAATTTCGTGAAATTTTCCCCAAATATTTTATCAAATAATTTAAAGTAAACAAAATATAGTTTTTAATTTAAATCTATAAAAGTCTTATAACTATCTTATAAAAGATTTTTAAAGCAAATATCAGCCCAAACAGGGGGAAAAAATAAGCATAATTGAGATAATACTTATACTTGGGTGATTGTAGCTAAACCACAACAATTTAATTAGTATTAATTTACCCAAGGCATGACTTGCTTTTTACAAAAAGAGCACAACTCAGTAGTAATTAACATATATTTCTAACTTCGATGTTGAGGGTTCGATTCCCACCTCCACATATTATACTAAAAATATATATATGACTTGCTTTTTCAGGTTTAAAATTAAATTTATAAAATATTAATTTACTTTTATGTTATAGCTGGTTCTTTTTTTCTTTTTTTTGAAACAGAACAACAAAAACAAATTAAACACAATCAGCGGCCAACAAAGCAGACAGCCACATAGGGCAAAACTGGTTCCACGAAGACGAGAATCCCTCTTCGCACGCTCTCCTTGCTATCCCATGAGCGACTCCATTAGCCTTCCTCGGCAGATGCTTTATTGATGATGGGCTCCATGAGCGACTCCACTATCCCATGAAAACACAATTGGCAAGGATTTCACCTCTTTCCATATGTCTTCAACAATTAGAGAAACTTCGGTGAGCTCCATGGACGATTTATTGATGATGTTCACTACTTCCAGACAATCTGATTCCACCTCAATTTTGATTCCAGCTTCTAGGGTAACGGATTGACTCAATGCTTTGAGACCTTCCAAGATTGCTAGGGCTTCCAAAGCTTTAATAGCTGGTTCTTGTAAAAAGATAATTAACAACAATTAATTATTCAGCTATAGCAAATCCCAAACCGAACATTAATTAGTTGTATAACCATCGAACACAATCACATTAACTCACACCCACAACTAAAATTTATTGTACAGCCAACAACAACATACACTAATACTAACAATAGAGACTAAATAGAAATATGATTCAAAGTCTAAATAAAAGATCATATTCAATAATACAGCCACTAAATCTATGGTTCTTCTTTTGTTTTTTATTTTTTTATTTTTTCACATCAAGTGGGGCGAGAAGATTTGAACTTATAACTTTTTGATAGATAYGTATCAATTACCGTTAAACTAAATTCATGTTTGACCACTCATCTACGTTCAATAAAATACAATAATAAATTAAAATATAATTGGGATGAGTATGGAATATTTTTCAAAATTAATGTCCATACAGAAACAGACAAACTTCCATAAAATAAATATGAAATCTTTTGGTCAAACCCATGAAGATATGTAGAAAAAACAAAAAAATTGCAATATAGCGAACCCTTTCTTATCAGAAATACAAAATCTAAAACCTATTAAATTAAATAAATACCTAGACCCAACTGGCAATTGATTGGTTGTTTGTATAAATAATATAAATTAATGACCCAAAAAAAGTCATCATGTAGAAGACTCAAATTAAATTTCCCTCACCACTGGCCTTTTCTTTTATAGCATTTGTTGTAAAAATAAATTATACTTTGGGAAACTAATTATTTAATTTGTAGTGTAGTTTGAAATTTTATTCCAAATCTAAACTTGTTTTAAAACATGCTAGAAATAGTTGTCTTTTAAAAACAATAAGTTAATTAATTCATGCAAAAGAAAGCCTCTTATAAAAAATTAATTTACAACTCAATATTTTGAAGTAATGAGATATTAAAAACAGTCTTTTTAAAAGGATATGGATATTTAAAGGATGAATAGATTATTTCATTCCACCCTATAGTAACACAAGAAAAATTCTAGATATAGTTCCATACTCGGCATCATATCGAGAAATTAAAGG